TCCAATAATTGAAACAGCTAAGATGATGCAGTTTTACAGACCCCAAAAATATTGACTTATACAGGTTTCTGAGTTTTGTCATGATCCCCATGGTATGAACAGTGCCCCCTTCCAGCAGGAAGCAGTTTGGAATGAGTGACGTCCTAATTCCCATCTTGTTTATAAATCTTTGTTTTCATTTAAATGGGGTTGTTTATAATTGGCTAATGATAACAGCCGATCTCTTTTTTAATGGTAAAAAGGGGAATTATGGTATGGGTATTGTTTTTCATTTATTGAGACAAATTCAAGGTCAATTTTGTGATGTGTATATTCCTCCTCTTGATTAAGTATTGTGCTTATACTGATCTTTTAAAACATAATGCATAATTGAATACAGACTATAGATAGTTATTGATAATCAAATTTATAGTTAGGTAAGTTAGGTTTTCTAGATATACAGAAATAAATTTGTGATATATAAACAGTCTTCAAACCTCTCAAAGACCTTCAGAAAATGGCATTTAAAATGGCTTAGGGTTTTTCTTGACAATGAGAAATGCCTGCTCCTGGCAGCACCAATTATGTCTGAGAGGAAAATTGGCATCGAAGAAACTCGTTATGGAGTTTGCTTTCAACATGGCAAGATTAGCCATTTGGGCAAGAAACTGCTCTTGCCTAGACGATTTGACTGTTGTTGTATAATCTGGACATGCAGGACCCACAGGAAAGTGACTGCTGAACTCAGTCTTACAGGGTTCCTGCTTCATGGAAGAGTCTACGGGACTTTCTGCAGGACACAGAAAAATGACTGACAGACTGCTGATGCAGATGGACAGTTTGAAATTTCCTGCTTTGCTGAGAAGTGTTCCAGACACACTGTGGCCTATGGGCTGAAGATGGATGTCCCAACGTTACAGAGGAACTTCGGGTGACTGTCCAGGCAGTAGGATATCTCTGTCAATCCTAGTGTTTATATATTATCCTTCTGTGGTCTTTGATGGAGTTGAAGATAGATAGTTATAATTATAGTTTTCCTTAGTTATGATAAGAGATAAACTACATATAGGACTTTGGACTCACAAGAATGAGATAGATGATATTTTCTTTAAATCTTGCTAAATGTTGATAGACAAAATATTGTAACTGTATTCTTACTTGATAACTGTTCTGTTATATATGATTTGACTATGTTAAAGTTAAGACCTTTCTTTTTGTTTAAACAGAAAAGAGGAGATGTTGGGGAAGTCCTGTGCATTTGTCAATAAAGTACTGTCTGGCCAATGGGGAATCTAGATAGGAGGGACTAGGAGTCCAGGAGGACTCTGGGTAGGAGAAACACAGAGAGTTCGAGATGTAACGCCATTGGGGTAGGAAGCCCGGAAACCTCTCCAGTAAGAGACATACTTAGATTAACAATTATGGGGTAATTACTTAAATCAGAGCTAGCCAGTAAGAAACAAGCAAGGCCAACAGCTTCATAATTAATATAGCCTCCTGTGTGTTTATTTGGGGACTGGTACAGCTCTGGAACCAGGCTGGCGGGAAGGCTTTCCTTTCAAGGAAAGCTTCTCTTAACAGCATGCACCACTAATGCATGGCTTCTGATAACTCATAGCTCAAGGATATTGAAATTTTACTTAATTACATCCTCAATCCATACTTCCTTTTTGTAACATTTAAGTTTTGAGGAGATGGATGGGATGACATTCCACAGTACTATTGTGACACTCAGAGGGTACTTTGAAGGCATTATTTCTCTACTTCCTCCACATGGATCCTGGGAGTCAAACTTAGGTTGTCAAGTGTGAGGTCAAGCGCCCTCATCCTCTGCGCCATCTCCTTGGTCCACCACACTGTCTTGTTCAAGCCTGACAGAGTGGCTATAATTAAATGGAACAATAAAGCCACAGCTCCTTAGGGATTCCTCATTGTTTCTATGATTTTAGGTACACTTTGGACTGAGTTTAGTCTTTTCTCTAATTTACCAATAAGGATATTTTGTGCACCATATTATATGATATCTAATAGATAACAATATATGATGATACATTCTAGAATGTATATATAATCATAATTATACACAAAAAATTGTGGATAGTGCATATTTTTGTAAATAGAAGAAATAGAATTTTTTAACATAAACAATTAGATTAACCAGAGAATGAGGAAATAAGAAGGGAAGTGGTTAGCATTGTGAAGTACAACTATTTATATAAAACAGTGTTACAGAGAGACTAGAAATGTAGCTGACCCTAGTCTAGAGTCCTCATAAAAATAGAAAGATGGAAAGTCGGTGACATAATTTGTAGCTTAAAGATCTTGTAATATTATTGGGTTATCTACGTTTAACAATATAGAAAGTTTTTTTTTTCTGAGACAAGATCTTACTAGATGCCTAGTGGACCTCGAACTTTGGAACTCTACATCCCTGTTCTCAGTCTCCTGAATGCCAGGTTCACAGGTCTGCATCACCATGCCTGGGTAGGATGTGAGTCTTACACTCCAGATACCATGCCATCCAATCAGATTTATTCACACATAATAATAAGGAAAATGAGTCAGATCTTGTGTCAGTTTGCAGTTCCTCTTTCTTTAAAATTTTCTGAGAAACTTCCTGTATGTGGCTATGAAATAGCACAATAGCCTTGCTGCTGGTCCAGTGTGGATGGATTAATGATTCTACTTTTCGTTTTAAGCTTTGTAGGTAGAAATTACATTCTACTTTTAATAACTTCTTTTGCCATTTTCCTTTTAATTGAAAATATGTGATACTAGGGATTGAACCAGGGTTCCTTGACTAATGCTACACAAGTGCTCTACCGCTGAGCTTTATCCCTGCCTGTTAATATTACCTCAGCAATGGGTTCACCACACTGTTTGTTTGGGGTTTTTGTTGTTGTTGTTTTTAATCTGAAAACAAATCTACAATCTTTAATTACTTTTATTTAAACATTTGCCAAGTCTGGAATCAAAGATAAATAGAAGGCATGTTTTTGTTTGGTTTTGTTATCAGATTTGGGGTTTGTTTTCTTGCAGGGACTTTTTTGTCTTCTTTTTTTTTTTTTTACAAATACAAATAAAACATGAAAAACTCTACCTCAAAAAAATCTAACTGTTCAATAGAAATCCTTAGCTGCATTCTAGACATCGAAAGGCTACTTCACAACTTAAAATCCAATGGTAAAAACAGGTTTGGAACTGCACCTTTTATTCGGTTAGCCACACCAGCGGGGATCCAGTGGCAGTTGCCAAAAGGCAAATTTTCTACACCAGAAAGGAATTGTGACTCTTGACAGATAACATGGATTTTTCCTGCTTCCCAAATGTTTTTCAAATCCTGTGTCTCCCAATGTATGAAATACCCATTGTCAGTAAGAAGCGAGACATGCTCCTTTGGGAAATAGTCGTTACATGACAGTCTGTATCTGCAGCATGAACAGGAAGGTAAGACCTCTCCGCTTCTTTAAAATCCTACTCCTCCAAAAGTATCATCCCGGAAAACTGGAAGTGAAGGACCAAAAGGTCAGGGGATTATGAACAGTATTACTATTACATTATCATTTGTGTTTCTTTTATGTTCTTCTAGCAGACATCTGATAGTACTTCCATCATCTGATAGTTGGTACCTTTGGGTTTACTAATCTGATCCATTGTTTATTAAGCATGCTTCCTACAATACTTCCTCATCCTCTTCCATGGGGTTCCAAGCTCCAAGGGGAGGGAATGGATGGAAATCTCCAGTTTCAGCTTTCTCTCTGCCTAATGTTTGACTAGGGCTTTCTGCATCTGATCGATGAAGCTTCTAGTGACGATGGCCCACGGAATCAACTAAGCAGGGCTCATAGGGGCTCACAGAGATTGAAGTGGTAATCAGGGAGCCTGAGTGGACCTGAGATAGGTCCTCAGCATATATATATATATATATATATATATATATATATATATATATATATATATTTGTTGGCTTGGTGTTTTGGGCACCTCCTAATAGTGGGAGTGGAGTGTCTCTGACTTTTTCATCACCTCTTAGCACCCTTTTCCTTCTACCTGGTTGATTCACGCAGATTTGATATGATGGTTTGTGCCAAGTCTTACTGTAACTCGTTATGCGTGTGTTTGGTTGATATCCCTAGGAGGCCTCCTTTTTTCTAAAGGGGAAGGGAGGAGCAATAGATCTGGGCCAGAGAGGACGTGGGAGGGTTGGGAGGAGTGTGGGCAGGGGAGGCTGCTTCAGGGATGAAATGTTTGATAGAAGAATGCATTTTTTAAAAAGAAGTAGCGTGATTCCTTCTGTTTGGAGCTTCAAGTATTGCATATATATATATACATATATATATATTGCATATATATATGCATGTGTGTTCAGAAGTATTAGTTATAAAAGCTTAATAAGCAATATTGAATTTTTAAGAGTGTCATTCTTGAACTTGTGGAATGCGGGTGAATAAATAAAATAAAATGTACAAACCTCTGACTATGTGTCAGATGGTAAAGGGTTTTCCTTTCCATTGAGTTGGTGCTCCAGATTCCTTCAGTCCAATACGCTCTAAGATAATAAAGAAATTGATACTACTAGCACCGTTACAGAGAGAGCTAAATGAGCAGCAGCATTCTTAGTTTCCATTGTTAGTTACTGTAGCCTTTCCTTATGTTTTGTTTTATGCTTTTGCTTTTCTCTTTCCTAAAAAAGACCAGGAAAAAAGAATGACAAAAAACAAACAAAACAGGGTTTCTTCTCTCAGCACTGTATGACTACAAGAAGATGCTTCAGAAAATAATGGATGCTGGAGAAGTCATGTGTAACTTGGGCACCAGGAATGACTGGTATGGGGTTAATTTTGTGCCCTGCTCCAAAATTCTTGCTCATTTTTTTTACTTCTCTTTTTCTTCTTACAATGTCCTGTAAAGAAAGGGGAATGAGTTATCTGACAAATTTAGATTTTGCAATCTTGCGCATTAATGAGACAGCTATTGAAATATGTTTCAAAGAAAGATTTTCAACACACAACTGTGTCATTTCCTTTCCTCGTGGACCAGATGCTGAAACACTATGTGATAAAGATTTTAGGTTTCAATTGTAAAGAGAGAGAAGTGGGTAAATCAGTGCGGCCTTCTTTACCAACAATGACAAAAGAGGTATAGTTTAATTTATTTTTTCTGAAATTACTTGGCTTTTTGGGGTGTATCTTCTCTGTGTATGTGTGAGTGTGTGAGGGGGAAGAGAGATAGACAGAGAGATCTGATTAGTAATTTCTAGTAGAACTCTTATTCTATGACTAGTAGTTTGGTTTTGTTGGAACAGGCAAAATAAGAGTAAAAATTCCTGCCAAGGTTTTCATTAATGAATACATGATAAATATGCATAAAATAAACTGCCTTATAGTCAGTTTAGTAAGTAACTATGTATTTTTGTTAAAATGTTGGCTTTATTCAAAGTATGTTTAATAAATTAGTTTGGTCCTTTCTCTACACGTGACAGTTTTGGCTTTAACTTGAGGGTTGTATTAATCTTTACTTGCTCATAGAGTGAATATTGGCTGAGTTTCCTGCAGATTTTTTTGAGGTACATGTGGGGAAGGGAACAAAAAAATAATACATTTAATTTTGAAATTCTTAATATAAAGCATATGCCCAAGGAGAACTAATATAACTTGAGAATTCTACAGGGGATAAAATTGCTATAGGTAACTACTGTATGAAGAGGAGAAGCTGTTACTTTCAAGGGAGAAAGAAGTATAAAAATATCTTCATGGAGACGTTACAATTTAGCGGGATATTGATGGATGAGTAAGACTTAGCCAGCATGAAATTGGGCTGGTGTTATCGCTGGCCATGTGGAGCTGTGGTAGTATAGTTACAGAGCTGACATGATGAATGTTTTAGGTAGTAGCTGAGAGCACACATTGTATAGCTACACTTCTTGCTTTCAAACTCAATGCACCATCTTCACTCACTTCCAGCCACATAACATTGAGTAAGTGCCTTAACCACTTAGGTCCTAGTGTGCTAAGATGTAAAATAGAAAAAATCTGACTGTGCAGCTTACAGAGCTCCCTTGAAGCTAAAATAAGTAAAGGTCATATGGTAATACAGAACTGTAAAATTGTGCCGATTCATTTATTGGCAGCTTTCTGCATACTAGGTAATCTAAATTTTATTTTAGTCTTCATATTGATATATTGATAGTATATATAAAATTGTACTTCAAAGCTTGCTTTCTTAAAAATCACGTAGGTGAAAGAATGGCACATTCACTCTCCATTTAGCATGCTTGTTAATACTTTATTATTTATTTTTCTGTTTTGACTTTTTTGAGAATTTTATAGAATGTATCTTCATTACATTCTTTTCAGTCACTTTTCGGTCTTAGATTCAAACATTAATATCCTCTCTATTTCCAACAATGATTGCCACTACCATTAGGCACGATAGATATGGTTCAGTCTCTAACCTGAATCCTTATACACTCATTTCTTCAGCATCGAAACAATGCTTGCACAAATATACTAATTTTAAAAATGATACAAATTGTCAGTTACTTACATAAAGATTTTTTTTTATTTTAAAAGAGTAAAGGAAGATTACACTGGAGCAATTTACCCCAACTTTAAGAAGAATTTGACTGTAAGAAAATCATAGCAAATACATGTACAGCTTTATCTTAGAAGAAATGATACATAGTGAATATGAAAAGGCAAATGGCAGGATGCATGGTCTCAGATCTGTAAAACAGCTGCTTGGAAGACCATGGCAGTCAGACAACAAGTTCCAGACTTGCCTGGGCTACAGAGAGAGTTCAAGGCCAACCTGGGCAATTTAGTGAGATCTTGTCTCAAAATGACAAGTAAGAGAGTGCTGGGGGTATAGTTCACCCTTAGCACCTTGGCTGAGCAGGCATTGTTCCCAAGTACAATGACAACAACAACAATGAGAACAAATAGTTACAGATGATAGAAACAAATCTCTTACTTAATATAAGAAAGTGTCCTTTTTTGTACAAGCAATGGATATGAACAGACAATGACCAAGTAAATAAGGAATAATTATGTGGAGATATCTCTTCTACAATAATTATAAACATGAAAACAAAGGTATATTAAAATAACACAACTCTTGTTAACATATAAACACTTCTATGGTGATGAATTTGGTTTAAAATCCCCACACTCACATATTACTCAAATATATGTATGTATTATACCATCTTTCTAAACAATGGTAAATACCAGGAAATTCACAATAATTTTTGCTTAGTCTAGTAGTTCAACAGAATATCAAAAGAATAAGCCTGATGAACTACAATAGCTATGACATCCTTCTTTATAATAGTAAAATCATGAGCTCCAGAAAAAGGGGTTTATAGGAAAATGGCTATAGAAAGAGATACTCATGTTTGACTAAATGTCATATAGTTTATTATTTTAAATTAGAAAAAACTCAAATGAGAAAAGCATGATTTTTAAGGGAGTTATGTTATACAAATCCATATGCACATTGCAATGTCCACTGTATGAATTCAGACAGAGGCACAAAGACTACAGTGTCCTATGATGAACAATGACATTTCATTGTACTAAAATGACAGATGGTAAAAGATGAATTCCTTCCACTCCTGCTTTTATGTCCCATTGTTCAATGATAAGATGAAAAAAAAAATGAAGGCCATGGTTCCTGCTAACCTTGGAGTTGTTTCATATGGCTTTCCTGTTGCTACTTCCATAAACTTTTGACCCTTTCTGAAAAGCTGATATGGCAGAGATGTGTTTCGCTTCTCATGAGAACACTCTGCTAATAGATTATACAAGCTCAAAAGATTTCCCAATCCTTTATCAGTACACGAGTGCATGGTGAGGGAAAGTCACTTGATGTGCAGTTGTTTGGCTCTTAACTTGGAAATTGCATTTAAGGTCGGATGAGAATGCTGTAAAGCTATTCACAGACTGCTAACAAGGACTCACCTGCGTATGTATTCCAACATTTAGAAAGCATGTCATAGTAAAAATCAGATGACAACTGAAATAATTCAATAACTGTAATAATAAATTCCTTTGGGGGCAAAGTGGGATGTACTGGTGATACCTTTTTGTCAGTTAACTAAGTGCATACAAATCAGAAACAAACATTTTCTAGGGCAAAGCAGTCATTTTCAAGTCTACATTTGTGAAATCTGAACTTCCATTGAAGTACAAGCAGATCCGTGAAGCACAGTTATCCTGAGGAACATTTTGTCTTTTTGGCGTATGTCGGTTTTTCATTTTCATTTTATTTTGTTTTATGTTTATTTCATGGCTCTGGGGATCCAACCCAGAGCCTTGCAACTGATAGGCAAGCACTGTGATCATCAGGGGAGTATATAGGGAGAGACAAAGGGACAAGAGCTGGGCCCCAGCATGCTCACTATCAAGGTACAAGGGAAGACACCACAGCGCACCTGTAATCCCTGCATTTAGGAGTCTTAGGGAGGACCATTACTTGTTAAGATCGAACTGGTTCACCTAGTGACACACAGTCTCAAAACAAAATGAAAAACAAACAGAAAATAGTCAAAGGTTTGTCTGCATCTGGAAGTATGCGATCGTTCTGCTTACTCACCCACTAATCAAGCTTGTTTTCAAGTTTGTTTCTCAGCTTTAGGTTTTTTCTGATAAAGTATTCTCTGTATGCCTGTTTCTCCACCCCCTAACACACTTTAAAGGGCTAAAACTGTAGGGAGTAAATTGAGAGAAATCTCCCAATAGGTGACGGATCTTTGTTGCTGCTGCAGCTCGTGAAGATGTTTTTGTCATGAATATGAATGTTTATTAAAGGCATCCCAGCAGTAGATTGCTGAAAGCAGTTGTTGCCCACAGCGATAAAATCCCTACAGCTACATCCAGAGTCAGTGTTCATAATGCATAGAAAATTGTGGGTGTCAATCAGAGTACTGTGTTTGGAAAAACTCAAGGATGAGGACTGGAGTGTTGAAAGTTGCTGTCCTCCCAGCCACACTGCTACCCTCCACATGGGACCAACTGTACAAAATCATGAGATTTGTCACCATTGAGCCTGTAGTCTGTTGACATTCTCTTCAAAGGGTGAATGAGAGAGCAGGGAGGGTCCCTGGACATTTACCAGAGTCCCTTGTCACTCTTGCAGCCATTGTATGCAGTTACATCTTAATTGCAATTGCTTTCATGAACTCAGGGAGGGGCAAAGGCATAAAGGCTCACAATTAGTGTGGAAAGGAGGCTTCATGGATGCAAACATGGGGAAGCCACCATTCATAGATTTTTCAGAGGGGCTGTGCTGAAATCAGTCATGTTTCTATAAATAATCTGCCATCCATGGTCTTTAAGTAGGCCCAGTATAATTGTTTCCCAGAGTGAACTGTGCTGTCCTGGAAGCATGCTTTCATTTATCACTACAATCTAAAAAAAAAAGGTTAAAAAAAGGGGGGGATAGACATTGCTCCCATATCCCCTGCCAGAAATGTTAGCAGTTGGGAATATCATTGCAAGAGGATCAGATTTAGTGATTTAAGATCTATTACCGACATTTGGAGGGTGAGAACCAGGTTAGATAACCATCCTCTTGAACTAATCACTCAAACCCATATCGTCTTGGCCAAGATGTGTCCCTGAAAATGCCAGTAGGATGTGGGTAAAGCTAGTGGCCAGTTGAGACTAGCAACATCAAAGTCGTTTAGACAAGGTCCAAGGAAGAGGTAGTCTGTGTTCCTAAGCCCTAAGGAACTTGGCTCTGGATCCAAAAGAAAGCAACAGAAAATGTATAGAAAAAGGAAAATGAACTCATATTTTTATCCAAAGCATTTCAATCTGGCTTCATATTCTTCATACTAGTGTTCTAGCTTATGAAAAGGCTGAGGCAAACGCTAGGGAATATGCAACTGATGTTGATGGAAAGTCAGGCTGTCTAAGCTGGAAGATAAGCCTTCAGTGGAGTGCCAAGGAGATAAGAATATTCAAGTCATGGTCAGATAGTTCCTATAAGGAGTTGGATATTAAAAAATAAAAAGACAATTGAAACATTAAGTTCTTTTGGAGCCTGTTACATTAATACAGGGTTAAGGATGCTACTTGGTCCAAAATAAGACTTCCACAGAATCTGAATCACACACAAAAATTGGGAAGAATTTCTGTCTGCAAAAGAATTCACCTCTGCAGTCCTCTGGTTTTCTGAATAGTCACCTCACTTGGCAAACAAAAAACATGAGATGTAAAGTCTGATAAAGTCTAACACAATTATCCACTCAACAATTATAAAGTGTATTCAAAGTTCCAGGTCGTCTCAAATACTAGCAATACAATGTTGGACAAAAACAGACCTGAATCTGCCAGCCCATAGCTTACACTCTAGACATATTTTTTTCAGGCACAGAAGTTTTCATCTTTGTTTATAATCATTCCTCCATGGAAAACAGAGTGGACAACCTGAAATGTTTCCTCTGCCATTTCAGTGAAAATGAATTCAGGATATCTAAAGCTATCTGTACTGGTTTGGAGAAAGACCAGTAACAGCCAGCACCAAAAGCATACAAAGGCTTTTCCATCCCGTTCTTCAGCACCTGAGCTCAGAGTCAAAGGTTTTCCCACTTGGCCACAATTGCTGTGAATGGTAGCTTTAAAATAATAATGGAGCTGTTTCATTATTAACTCTTTGTTTTGTTTGTTTACTTGCTCATCAGTTTTGCTTGATGGGTGAAATAATTGTCCACACAGATTAAAAGACAGGAAACAGAAGGAGAGCCTGGATCAGAAGTCCAAACTGGCTTTCTCCAAAGCCACTATCCCAGGTTGTCATTTATTTACTAAATTGCTTAAGGTCTTCTATTTGCTTATCTTGTAACACAGCCCTTCAGTGTGGCCCAGGCTGGCCCTAACTCTGCACACTATCCCACCCTGCCACTGCCTCCCAATTGCTAGGATTACAAGCAAATGGTGAGGTTGTAGTCATGTTCTACACTGCTTTGAAATCAGTCATTTTTATCTTTGTGTGTGTGTGTGTGTGTGTGTGTGATGGAACTTTGGGAGACTGCCATTTCAGCTTCAGCCTGTACAGCAGCTAAGACTAAGTATTTTCAGTAATTTTGTTTGGTTTGGGCTTTTTCTTCCTTTTTCATTTTTGCCTAACCTGATAAAAGAGAAGATTCAGTCAGGTCCTATACCTTCCTGTCTTTAGCCCCTTGTCTCTTGGCCAAGTTCTATACAGATCACAATCCTCAGGCCGAACAACACTAGATATTGGGATACCGATTCTCAGAAATGATCAACGTGTGCAAAGATTGTTAGTGTGAGCAGCCAAATAAATAATCTCTTTGGGCCTATTTTTAGAAGTATATTGATTGACAGGGATTTAGTCACATCCTTGTTAGTCAATGAGTCTCCCAAAGCAGCCTGTGCCTTTAGAAAGGAGTGGGGGTTCTGTATCTGCAACCTAGGCTGGAGTTTTGTTTCCTGCCATTGTTATGCATTTAGTTAAAGTTGCTAAACACATCCCTCAGAATGGGGGTGAGGGTGGAGGGGAAAAGATTAGAAGATGTAGGACTCTCACTTAATTAGGCATTCCACCTGAACTGTGACCACGAAAAGTTAATCTGTTTATCTTCTCAGGCAATGTTCTTAAAATGCAGATACTTCTATCAAAATCAGCACTATTTCTTGAAAACTTGTTACAATCTCAAACTATTTTATTCGTTTATTTTATTTTATTACATATTCCATTTTACTTATTTTCAAGTATAATATCAAAAGCCTAGATGGAGTTTAACAGTAAAAAGTCTATTGTATGAAAGCTTGAGTGAGGAAAGAAAAAATATAGTGGCAGAAAGAAAGAGAACCTTGTATTTTAATTAAATACACTTATTTTAATGTAAAACATTTAAATTTGATGAGGTTCATTTAATTTTGTTTGCTAGCTTGTCTTATGACAACTTGACACCCAAATTAGATTTATCTCACAAATTAGATTTATCTGGAAGGAGGGAACCTCAACTGAGAAAATGCCTTCTTAAAACCCTGTTGTAACAGGCTTAGTTTACTGCCCGTGGGAGGCCTTACCCTCTCTGAGGAGTGGATGGGGGAGGGGGGAGGGAGGTGGCAGCGAGGGGGGAGTGGGGACATGGGAGGGAAGAGGAACTGTGATTGGTATGTAAAATGAATTAAAAATGTAAAATAAAATATAATATAAAAGAGAAAAAAAAGATCTGGCTGTAAGGCATTTTGTTAATTTGTGATTGATGGGGGAGGACCCTTCAATTGCGGCTGGTGCCATCCCTGTGCTGGTGATCCTGGGTTCCCTAAGAAAGCAGACTGAGCAAGCTGCAGGGAGCAAACCACTGAGCAGCTCCTCTCCATGCACTCTCCATAAGCTCCGGATCCTGCCCAGTTTGAGCTCCTGCCCTGACTTGGTGGTGGTGTTTCATTGAAGCAATATAATCCCTAAATAAGTCATTTTCTGTAATTGGAAGTAAGAATGGGACCTGGTATATGCTGGGTAAGTGTTTCACCACAGAGCTAATCTTGGTCATATTTAAATTTACAAATATAAAAGGGTATATGTTAGTGAGTACTATGTGACATTTTGATGTAGTTTTTGCTTTGTATCATATTAAAATAATATTAAATATCTCCTTTAGCCAAAGCTTTCAAAGTTCTTTTTTTGGTGTTTTTGAAAGTGCAGTACAATACTGTCTGTCATATGCAGTCATTTGATAGTGCAATCCCAGACCAGACTCTTTGTGTCTCTCAGCTTTGACTTAGAATGTTGTGATCTACAATTACAAATTATTGACTCTCTCCACTCAAATATCAGGAAGTCTGGCATGGTGGCCCATTAACTCCTTCTCAAGACAGGCAAAACATTTACACCTGTCACTAGAGATAAAGGCATATATTGCTCAGTAGAGTATTGATTGAATTTAAATGACACAAGAACAGATTTACGTTGCATAATGCAGTAGTATAAATAGAAAAGAGTTAAGGAGAGAGAGAAGAGAAAAAGAAAAGAGGAGGAAAGGATGGAGAGAGGTCCTGTTGGAGGGAAAGGAAAGAAAAGTTACCTTTTCCTGTGCATTTAAATCTAATGACTTTATCTTTCTAAACAGACAAACAGATGCTTTGGCACGGAAGCCAAACTAATTCAGAGCAGAAAGACACAGGAAATATTTGTCCCAAGCACGGATAACTATTTGCTCTAAGGGAAATCATTTATTTTCTCTTCAGCTAGTTAGTCTCTGCTGCTTGTTTTTTTTTTGTTTGTTTGTTTTTTGTTTTTTTTTTCTTTTGTAGTTAGAGAAGTAAGGTTACACCTTCTCACATGCGAGACCTGTGAACATAGATGCCTTTCTACAGAGTACAACACAGCACTGAATCGTCAAGAGCCTGACCTCTTAAATCTGTTCTCCATGCATTAGTAACATATGGCTGAGTGCGTGTTTGTGTGCATATGAGTGTGTGTCTGGAGGAAGTGAAACTGAACATGTGTGTACCTGTACGTAGAGATCCATGCTGGATATTGTCTTCTGTTTCTTTGCACCATACTCTTGAGACAGGACCTCTCTCACTCTTCCTGAGACTCACCAGCGGGATGCACTGACTGGCCACCACAGTGCTGGAGATCCCCCTGTCTCCACTTCTGAGCACAAGGGCTATACCCCCTCTAGCTTTCCAGGGGATAACAGGCATCCAAATTCAGGTATTCGTGCTTGATTACCAGGCAGATACTTTATTGGCAGCTATTACTCCAGTCCCATAAATATGCCTTTTTTATGCTTCAATGAAAAGTCATGAGGAAGGCTAGTATAGTGCTTTCTATGATGTGTGTATTTAGTTATACATTTTGCTTGCTAAAATTGAATCTAAATGAAAATTAACTCACAACACCATGAAAAATGACCTTGGCAACTTCATACGGGATTCATATAGTATTCTGTGTGTTTGACAGACCACAGAACAACAGAGGCTCTGCCCTGATGAACCCGAGGACACGGAGAGCTACTCAGAATCTGTGAAATTTGATGCTCGCTCAATGACAGCATTGCTTCCTCCCAGTAAGTAGAAAGTGGCAAAGTGACACAGGTGATAGGTTGGGTGGCTGAAATAAGCAGGAGGTTGGGTAGCTTAAATGAGTAGAGCTACACAAGTGGTAGGTTGATGGGGAATGGTCTTCTGTAAATATGTTTCTCTTATGGGTTAATGAATAAAACACTAATTTGTCAGGCAGGATGATAGGTAGGTCTAGGAGGCAAGGAGGATTCTGGGAAGTGTAGGCAGAGAGGAGTTGTCATGAAATCCCAGGAAGTGACTTAGTTGGGAAACTGCCACTAGCTAACCACAGAGGTCTAGAAGTCTGTACAGATAGGCAGGAAGTGACATAGCTGGGCAGAATCAATATGTAAGCAGGGACTAAAAGGAAATTGTGCTCTTCTTTGTGGAGATGTTGAATAGGTATGATGTAGCAGGCAAAGGAGTTGCAGGTCTAGTAAGCCAAGACCACATGGAAATATATGGATTAGTAGTCATGGTTTAAGAATAAGAAGCCCAAGTCACCAGCCAACACCTTTGTATTAATATAGCATCTGCGTGTTCATTTGGGGCAGAGAAGGGTGGTGGGACCCTGGCTGGGCCAAGAAAGCTCATGTTACAGTAGGTTTGCTGGCTTAAATCAGTAGAGATTAGTTTGTTTTCTCACAGTTCTCTGTCCTAGAAGTCTTAAACCAAGGTGTCCAAATGGACACGGATCATTTAAAGACCATGTCTCTTCCCAGTTTCTAGTGCTTTCTGGCAACTCTTGTTGGTCCTGGTTTTTAGAAGCATCACTTCCACCTCTGCTTCCCGCTTCTGAGAGTTTATTCTCTTCTGAGAGTTTATTCTCCTGTGCAATTGTATGTTCTTTTCTTTTCTTATAAAGATCCAACCTCCAGAATAAATACCACACCACAAGATATCATTTACACTTGACTACATCTGCAGTGACCCTAGTTCCAATTAAAATCACCTTCATAGTCATCTAGATTTAGCACTTCTGTGGATCTTCTTGAGAGATAAAGTCCTGCATGTCACCAATGAAGCAGCTTGTGACAGCAACACAAAAGAAACAGTGTTCAACAGCTTCTGATCAGGCTTGAGGGGTCAGAACCTCAATTAAGAATTTCTTAATTCTTTTTTTTTTCTGGTCCAAAAGGGAGGTTTTGGTTTGTTTTTATATTTTTTTTATTTAACTTTTTACACATGTCACTCTCAGTTCCCTCTCCCTCCCCTTCTCCCTCACTCCCCAATCCTCCCAACCCTTCACCCATACTCCATCCCCCCTCAGCTCCCCAGGGAGGGCAAGGGCTTCCATGAGGGATTTTCAGGGTCTGTCACATCATCCCTGGCAGGGCCTAGTTTCTTCCCCATGTATCTAGGCTGAGAGAGCATCCCTCCACGTGGTATGGGTTCCCAGAGTCCCTCTGTATGCCAGGAATAAATACTGCTCTACTCTCCAAGGGCCACAGATTGCCAAGGCCTCCTCTCTGTCACCCAGTTTCTGTGAGAGGGATGTCTGGATCAGTCCCATGCCGGCCCTTCAGTCACCAGTCTGGGGTCTATGTGTTCCCCCTTGTTTAGGTCAGTTGGCTCTGTGGGTTTCACCAGCCCGATATTAATTCCTTTGGTCATCACTCCTCTTTGCAACTGGGTTCCAGGAGTTCAATTCAGTTCACAGCTGTGGGTGTCTGCCTCTAGAATTGCTTAATTCTTGATGCCCCTTTCTGAGATGATGGGTGGAAAGAGAATAGTCAGAGACATTTCAGGTAGAGAAAATAGTAAGCAAAACATGAGTTTACACACACAAATTCAAATCCCATCCCTTAGATAAAAGTCAGATAATGTAGTTTACACCTGTAATTCCAGTGTGGGTGGGGAAGAGACAGGAAAACCCCTGTGGCTTGTTGGTCAGCCAGTCTAATTATATTGATCATTTCCAGGTTCATTGAGAGACCTTGTCTCAAAAATAAAGTGGAAGGGACAGAGTGATTGCTCAGTATCTAAGAGCCCTTGCTTCTTCAGGGGACCGGGCTTTGCTTCCTAGCCTGCACATGTCAGAATCGTCTGTGACTCCAGTTCCAGGTGATCTGACCCCGGCCTCCATATGCCCCAGACACACATAGTGTACAAACAGGATTCACAGTTAGTTAGCCTGAAATATATATATATATATATATATATATATATATATATATATATATATATTTCCAACTTGGTTTTATAATGGCTTGTTCCTTCAATTTTCATTATTTTTCTTGACTTTACTCTTTTAAAAATGTCCCTTTCTGTCCTTCTCTGTGTCTCACAAAATGGAATTGAATTGAGCTGAACCAAGTGGTACACATCCATAGGACGTAGAGGCAGGAGAACCATGAGTTCAAGGCCATTTCCAGCTGCATAGTGAGTACAATGCTAGCCTGGACTGTATTAAACTATGTCAGGAAAAAAGCTTGGGAGGCAGCTTATTCAGTCAAGTGCCTGCTGTGCAAGCAGAGGGACTTGAGTTTGGATCCTCAGAACCTGTATAAAAAGCTGAGGGTAGCAGAGGCAGAACTCTCTTCTAAACACAGCACTGGGGAGACACATACAGGCAGATCCCCGAAGGTCCTTGATAAGCCAGTCTAGTCAATTAATGAAATGCAGCTTCTATGTGAGATCCTGCCTCAAAAGAGAAGAGTGAAGAGCATCCAAGAAGAAAGCATCCAATCACTGACCATGAACCTTCATAGAAACCCAAATATACTCACGCTGTCAAATATGCACCTGCGTGTGCGCGGGCACACACACACACACACATACACACACACACACACACACACAGACACACACACACACACACACACACACACAATACATAAATAATCTACCATTTTCCCTCTGCATCAGAATAGCCCCACTGCAGTCAACAACTCTTTATAGGAATTCCTTTTTTATATATGCATATTTATAAATATAGTTATTGCATCCTGATATATCTAAAGGATGGGTTTCATTGATGCATTCCAAAGTTTTGTCAAAATGTAAATCACTTCTTGTCTCATTTAAAATAATTGTTCATTATAGTCCAATCATGTGAGCTATACAAACAGGAAATCATACACAGTCATGTTCTCTTGTTTGTGCAACAAGTAGTTTACCTGCTGGACCTTAAATCCAGCACCAGGTACCAAGACTTAAATCAAGGCTTTTAATAATAGGCTGGGCTTTTGTTCTGTTTCCTTTTGCTTTGTTTTAGATCCTAAAAATGGGTCTTCCTATCAGGAGAAGCTGAAGTCCTTCAAAACTGCCCTAGTTGCCCTCTACCTTCTTGTGTTTGCTGTTCTCATACCGCTCATTGGGATAGTAGCAGGTATAGTATCCCAGAATTTTGAAACTTTGTTCATTTGCTATATAGTAGTGTTTGTATGGTAGATTTTGTAAAGAAGCTTCATATGCATAGCATTCTTCAACTTCAGCAAGTGCAATTAAAATAGATTCTGTGTTGTAAATAGAAACAAGTTCTTTTTAATTTTACAAATAAAATATTAACAGAGTAAAATAAATATATTGGCATACAAAAGTGGGCTATGGTTACATCTGTTCTGTTCTCTCTTTGACCTCCCTCCACCTCCTCCCTTGTCCACTGACTCCTTTTCAAAAATAATTATCTATTATTCTTTATTATTGGTGTATATATATATATATAAATTGTATATATATATAATTATCAATATATAATGTAAATATGTATGTAATTGTTTATATATATGTATATATACCCTGTGAATTCATCTAATATTGAAATGTATATATATATTTGGATCTGACCCAACCTCTTGGGATTGGATAATATATCAGAACACTCATTCCTATAGATGACTGTGTCTTTACCAGAAGCCATTAATTGCCAATAGCTAGCTCTTCATCAAGGATTGGGGCCTTATGAGATTTCCTCCATCTCTACTGAAATGTCAATTGGTGGTGTCATTTTTCAGGTTTTGTTTAGGTGATCATGCCATGCATGATCCAAGTCATGCATAGAAGATACAATCTCTCAGTAGACAACCTAATCCTCCTACTCTCAGTTTTTGTGTCCCCTCTTCTGTGATGTTCTCTGACCCTTAGAAGTACGGGTCGTGTTTCAGGTGTATCAATTAGGGATAGGTATACCCAAATAAGTTGTTCTCTACATTTTGGCTAGATGTGGATTTTTGTAATGATCTCAATCCAATGGGTTGGGGAGGACTTCTCTGATGAGCAATGATGAACTGTGGGAGTTCACTTACCTGTGGACATAGATAAGTATTTAGGATGCAGCTAGAAATTTTACTGGAGTAGGGAAATGACTGCAGTACATTCTCTGGGATAAGTTTACAGTGCTAAGCATCATGAACAGGAGAGAGTATTAACAACCCCAAGTGGCAAAATTTCATTTAACCTGTCTGTGACTGTGTGTGTGCATATATGCACGTGCGTAATTTTAAGCAAACATAGCATAATGCGTGGGGTGCTTTTTCATTTATTTAGATTGTTGTTAACTTCTTTCAAAGTTTTACATAGCTCTTGTACATGTACTTGTAGACATGACTGAGATTAGATTCTCTTCTTACTTTTTCAAATGCTCCTGAATTTGAATTTTATACTCCCATTGCTCATTGCTGTTACATGTAAATGTAATTGAATTTTTATATTAAACTTCGGTAATTTTTAAAAGAAAGTGGGCTGGTAATATTTAGACTATTTCAAAAGTATATTGTACTCCATAGTTCTGAATGTCTAGCATTGGATAACAGCACTCCTGAAATTCTAGTTATTACATAATAAAAATGCTCCCAACAGAGAATGAAGTTAACCATGGTTTTTTAGTGTATCTCCAGCATCTCCTGAAGTACATTAAGAAAATCTAATACTCTGTTTCTGAAATACATGTCAATGTGCAAACAAGTGTGGTCATTTACATTAACAATGTCTTTCCCAGAAAAGAATGCCTGCTTTTCAGAAAGTTTTATACATCAAATGCAGAAAGCAGATGGTAATATTACCTTTTTAAAAACGACTATATCTAATTCACATATTTCATGTGCTATTATTTAAACATCTTAACAATAGTACAGCAACATCTGTTAGGATTTTAAATACTAAGATTTGTTATTTGAGTTTCATTCGATGTTCTCCAGCCACTTATTTCTCTAAGAAGTCTTGAACTGGGATAACATTTTCAAATATTTTTTCCCTGGGTACATGGTATCCTTTATCCCAGGCTGGCTCTTCTAACTTGCTTTGTACAGATGTCTTTGCCTCTACCTCTCTGTGCTGAGGCTAGGGGCATCAACACATTTATCTTATGTGGTGCTGGAATCGATATCAGGGCAACCCACATGCTAAGAAAACAGTCCATGAACTGAGATCAGATGTGTTGGATTTTAACTGATATCCAAATTCATTGGTCTCGTCATTATGCTTTTCTTTATGATCCCCTCCCCATCAAGAGGAAGGCTTAGGAAAAATTCATTTGAATGTGCATGCTAATCTACCTAAGAAAATACTCCTAATTGCAAAACCAAATTTCCTTTGTTGTGGAGTAATCAAAACAGATTTCGACTCAGAAAGAAAAGCTAAGGAAATCAACAACAATTGTAAAAGTAACTCTCATTTTATCATTTTCCATCATTTATTATGCTCCAAAACTGAACTCTAAACTTCCAGCATAGTATCTTAATACATCTTTACAATTACCTTTCAGCAGACACTATAATTATCTTTATTATCCACACCAGAAAACTGAAACTCCTCAGCAATGGAGCATGTATGTGTTCCCATCTATGACTTTTGTGTCCTAACCTCTCTTGGCTACTGGCTGCCACTTTAATTTGGTTATTATAATAAAACATTGTTGTCCAGAAAAAAAACATGAAAATAAAATTGCCATAATGTTATCCAAGAGAATATTTCTACAAAAAAATCCCCACAAACAAGCAAAAAACAGCTCCTGTTTTAGCCATTAAAAACAGAGAAAACAAAAATCCAAACATAATGACCAAAGCAAACAGCAAACCAATGGCAGCTATTGAATCAAGAGAAATGAAGTTTCTAGTAATGTAAGTCTCTCATGAACAAGATTATCTACTTATTGTCCACGTGTGCATGCTTATATGCAGTGTGAAATACAAACTTGAATGATGTGCTCTTGCTTTGTGTCATCAAATATATACCAGGTAGAATTTGAGTAGATCCATCTCTTTATGTAAACCATGGTCTACAGAGCCTACAAAGACTGTAGTCTCTGATTGGTCCCGATCAAGGGAGACAGAAACCTGAAAAGTATCCATGGCTGCAATCAAGTTCAAATTTGTTGAGCCATTAGGAAATATTACCAAGTCAAACATTTGCTGTGGAGTAGATAGTAATTGATCTTTGATTTTTTGTTTCTTAAAATTACATTAAGAACCCATTAAGGCAGATAGGGAATAGAATGTTCCTGTCTTACAAATTAATACCAGTACCAAATTCACCAGAATTTTAAGCAGAACTCATTGCAATTATCATAGGTAACTTAATTGCATTTGTAACTCTATAACTCTTAGTACCAGATCACAATATCTTTTAAAGAAGAGTTAAAATATATTGCATATACAAATATGATATCAAAAGATTATAAATGTAGAATGATAAATTAATGGAACAACACATTGACAGTTGAGTTGATAATTGAAGTAAAATGGTGAATATAAAGCTATTCAAATTTAAATTAGCTCATATGTGAAAAGTTGTTTATTATTTTCATGGCCTACTTTGTATGATATCATTCTTAAAGAATGTAAAGTATTCCTGACAGAAAAAATAACATCATTAAGACTGGAGGAGGACAGAAAGGTATGTTTTAGAATGGATGGGTATAAATTGCTATTGAAATAGAGATTACTTTTTAAAATAATATAAATTTTGGATAGGAAAAGAAACTACTAACATGAAAGAGTAAACCCAATATGTAGAATCAAATATCACCAGCTCCCTAGGTATTTATGTATGTTATAAAAGCTTGAATTTTCCTGTGTAAAATAGAGACATTACAGAATGCCATCTCTCCAGAAACAAGTGAAAAGTATACTTTTGAAATTATAAACTCTGACATTCTCTTTTAATTTTATTTTTGAGATTATAACATAATTTTACATTTAACAACGTTCCTACCTTACCTTTCCTTCCTCCAAAGCCTCTCATAAACCCTTCCCCACTCTCTTAAAAATTAGTGTACTCTTTTCACTATTGTTATTACAAGAATACACATATATGTACATATGTATATATTAACCTGCCTAGTCTGTATAATGTTCCTTGTATGTATTGTTTCAGCATCCTTCTTTGTGTCAGGATGAGACCTTGTGGGTTTTTCTGCTGTAGAATATTATTTTAAGGTGTGTTACTGTTTTTTATGCTCTGGAACATTCGCAAAGATGTGTTTGATTAACTAAAATTCACCTGCCATCAAAGGCACCTAGCTGACAGGAAGTTGTAGAGAAGAGCCAGGTGGAGAAGGGTTTATAAGGAGGGGCAAGAACGAGCAGGAGGAATTCTTGGGAGACACAAGGAGGTTAGCTAGGAGAGCTGTTTGCTTTTCAGCCTCTCTGGGAAACAGGATTTTACTTCAACCTTTCAATCTTGAGTTCTTTAGTGGGACAGAGATTTAAATAAGTTTCCTTAGTAGCTGGGGGACCAGAATTCCCTCAGACTTCTGCTCTTGTGGCTTAGACACTTCTAGTAGTGGCAGAGTGCCAGTTGCTGAATAGAAGAGCCGTGGCTTAAAAGGCAATGACAATATAAAAAAGAAGAGCAACACTTATCCCTGTCTAATTGGTATGACCATTGGTGGTATCCTTGTGGCATTCTTTATATATTTGCATTATAAGGAGATAATCTCTACTTTAAAGTTTTTATTTATCTATTTAATTTGCTTGGGTACTTACTGTCTAATTTTTCTATTGCTTTGATAAGACAAGGCAACTTATAAAAGGAAGCATTAACTTGGGGCTGACAGTTACTCTAACAGAGGACTAGAGGCCATGAACATCACAGGAGGAGGAAGGCAGGCATGGTTCTGAAAGCTCACAAGTTGAGACACAACCACGAGGAAGAAATAGCTAGCTAGCATGGCTCATACCCTTAGAACTTCAAATCCTGTCCCTAGGGATACACCTCTCCTACAAGATCACACTTTGTAATCCTTCCTAAACAGTTATACCAACTGTGGAACCAAAATCTTTAACATGTGAGTATTCAAGTGTTTGGAACCCATTCTCATTAAAAATGCCACAGTTACTCATTGCTGTTGTCTGGATTCTAAGGTTCATACATGCATGCCTGGAGAGTACCAGGTAGCTAAGCACTCCAGTACTTGAGAGAACCATTTTTACAGATAGTAAAACTGAAGTTAGTTTCATTTAAGATAAAGGAGACAAGAAATATTCTGTTTTTAAAATTAATAAGCAAAGCCTTTACTGTCAACTCATGGCTATGTTGTCAAATTAAAATCATAGTTCAGACAACCCTTTGCAGCATCAGGTTTCTTCTTTCCATGCTGAGAAAAATACTTATTATTTTACTCTGTGAAATAAAGCTGTTTTCAAAGCAAAATTCCATGATGAAGCAAGTAGGGCATAGATCTAGTAAAACAAAGTACAAAGTGCTGTGTTTACAGACACAATTCACTACAGGAATGTTTTATATTAAGAATATATTAAGCATATTTTATCAATTAATTACTTTTACTTAAGTAATATATTTATGTTATGCATAGTCAATTATAATTATGATTATAATGGAATTAATCAGTATCAGGAATGTAGATTATAAGGTGCTATATTAATCCTGAAACATCAAATGCTTATTAATCTTAGGAAATGAGCTATGTACTTTTCATATATTTATTTGTTGCTAATAGTAGTACTAACATTATATTTTCACATATGGTAACTAGACCAATGTTACTGCTTATAAAACACAGTCTTAAATGTTAATCCAGGCCATGCCACTCAAATATTTAGTGTCATAACTGCTGGTGAAATGAAGTAATGTTCACCACGGGAAAACCTTGAAACAGCTTTTTTTATTTGTTCATTTAAGTTTATTATTGTTAGAGACAAAATCTCTTCCTAGTCAGTTTTTTTTTATTTAATTTTGAGAGCGCATTTTAATAAGAACATTTCTTCCTTCCCTACCTCCAAACCTTCCCATATACCCCTCCCTGAACTTCTTTAAATTTATGAGCTTTCTATCAATTGTTCTTTCATACCTAAATATTTCCAAATATAACCCGTTAAGTCCATGTGTTACTTGTACGTATGTATGCTTTTAAGGTTTGGTAATGGACATCTGGTAATGGACAACTAATTGCGTTCTTTCCTGGGCAGGGGCACCTTTCCTGGTCCCAATTTACTCCGTTGCATGTAGTTTTTTTGTTCAGGGTTGAGGCCCTGTGGGATTTTTCCCCGTGCAGTTTGGTATGTTCATTGGTGTTATTTTTGTGATACTCATTTCTAGCTATATTGTCAGAGAGTAATCTTTACTTTAAAATGTACTTACTTATTTGTTTTATTTACTTAGTTTGCTCTTTTTTTGTTTGTGTATGTGTTTTGTTTTTGTTTTTCAAGACAGGGTTTCTCTGTAGCTTTGGAGCTTGTCCTGGAATTCTCTCTGTAGACCAGATTGGCCTCCAACTCCCAGAGATCCATCTGCCTCTGCCTCCCTAACGCTGGGATTAAAGGTGAGTGCCACCACCTCCTGGTTGCTTATTTTTCTCTTTGTTCAGCTGACGCTTGGGCAGTCATGTGGGTGAGGCTTTACATGTGTATCTTCTGATGTTATGAGGATACACAATTTTACAAAAGTTCCTGATCTGCTGGCTCTTAAAGTCTTTAACCCCCCTCTTCTGCAATGCTCACTGAGCAATTGAGGAGTTTTTTCTTGTGGTGGCTACAGTGGTCTCTGTTCCAACAATAAGTTTCCTTGATGAGGGATGTACTTTTATTCCCAGCTATTCAATTGATATTTCACACCGTAGAGCCTCAATTGAGGACTACATAAAAATTTGCTTCTCATTTTGAATTTAGTAAATATGATGCCCTGTAGCAAGTAAATATACTTATATGTCCAATTTATTGATTGACTTATATACAATAATTGTGTTACCTGTTGTAGATCATATCAAAATTTCATCAATGTGTTGCTATATTCAATAAACTAACATTACAGAAATGTGAGCACAAAATATAACATATTTATAAGTTGAAAAACATAACACTTATTGTTAATATAAATAATAATTAGCAGACATTTCTTTCCATGAGGGTAATGGCTGCAATGATTCTATAAGATATTCTTTCATGTATAATCCACTTTGTAACTGAGTAGAATTTTCATGGTTGTCAGCTTCCAGTGATTAGTTTTACATATTTATTCTACTCAGTTTCAACCATTGTCGAACCTGATAGTACTTTTAAGTTGGTTGAAGATATATAAGCAAGGGCATCATTGGTAACTGCCTACATCAATCAGAATGGCAAGTGAGATCTGGCTTCCAGAATCAAACCTTTGATCCCATATAAGCACAAAGTTGGTGCTTTTACTATAGTACTTAATACTATATAGATTTTTCTGTTGTCTAATTTAATTCTCAAAATTTCTATAACACTGTACTAAATTCAACAGATTCAGGTGTACATTTAAATATACTAACTATATGAAGATATATTTTTGCTGCTCTATAATATCATATGTGGAAAATGTTATGCCTCAAACTTTTAAGACTGTAAAAGAAGCATGCAGATAAAAATATTCACAGTCACTTGTAATTGTTGATTTTCCTTAAGTATCTTACATCATCATAGATAAGTGGTAAAAATATTATAATATGTACTTTTTATTTAATTAAAATGTGTGCAATTTTTATCTTTGAAGACAATGTTTTTATTTCCATTCATTTTTCCTTCTTTCATAAATTATGCAAAATGTCATTCTATACCATTTTGAAAGGATAAGTAGCTCATTTAGAGAATATATCCCCATTTGGAAGTATGTATCAGCAACTCATTATGGTCCTCAAATTCCATTGAATAGAATAATTATTCCTGAAGATATGATTCATCACAAGACTGCTTTTCAAATGTTGAATGAGTTCCTGAAAATAGAAGCAAACTTAATTCAGCGAATTTCTAAGCAAATCTGGCAGATCCATTCTAGGATAGAATATAGTTACCAAATTGTTTTTAGGATATTATTAAATAAAAACTATAAAAATGTTTATTATGACACTAAATTAAAAGGCAGTCCCTAGATTCTGTGATTCTAGGACTGGGGAGGCTACAGCAAGTAGTTCATGAGTTTGAGGTTCGCCTTGGCTCTATAACAGCTTCAAAGCCAAGCTGAGCTATATACTGAAGACTTGTATTAGAAACCAATTAATATAATTATGTTAGTGGAAGAAAATATGATTTGAAAAATATGCAACCAGATGTTTGACTTTAGTTCAGATTAATAATACATGTAATACATTTGTTTTCATATTTTCTGTTATGATGAAACATTTTATAATAGGTGAAAATACTCTAATAAAAACAATGCATTTGAAAGTGATGAGTACAAAATTATATAGGCTATTATTTGATTTATTTTTATTTAAATATTCAGCTCAGTTTATCAATTGGGAAATGAAGAACTGCTTAGTTGGTTCAACTAACACAAGTGATACATCTCAAAATCTGGTTGGAAAAGAAAACACCAGTAAAGCTGAAATGAGATTTACAGCTGTCGTGGAACACATGAAGGACATGGAAGAGAGAATCCAAAGCATTTCAGACTCAAAAGCCAACCTCATAGATGCAGAACGCTTCCAGAATTTCAGTATGACAACTGACCAAAGACTTAATGATGTTCTGCTGCAGTTAAATTCCTTGATTGCATCAGTCCAGGGTCATGGGAACTCCTTAGATGAGATCTCCAAGTCCTTGACGAGTCTCAATACTACACTGCTTGATGTCCAGTTCCATACAGAAACACTGAACAGCAAAGTCAGTGAGTCTACAGTGAAGCAACAGGAGGTAAGCATTTCAGAAGACAATGGCATAGTTGACTCTGGAACTAAATCCATCCAGATTCTGTTTCTTTGGGCAATTCAGAAAGCAGAGGCACAAAACTTGTTTTCTGATTCACCCACTGATGTCAACTTCTCTGACAATCTAATACAAGGTCTCTAGAGATTTAACTGGTACCTTTACCAGACTACCATCAAAAGGTGAATATTTTCCAATGGATCTAGACTATGAAGGTGTTTTTATATTATAAAGACCATATATTGCCTTCTTCCATTACATTAATTATAAGATTCAGATTACCTAAATATAAATTGGAAATATATGTGTGAATTTTATGAACAATCTAACTTAATGTTATTTACATGGATATCTTATGGAGTAGCATTTTTAGATAATTTATTTTGCCATTTCTAGAAGATAAATGCAAGTTTTATTGTACTGGTAATTAAAATTTGAAAATTATGAACATATTTTCAGCAAGAGTTCTTAATATGATAACAGCACAGACTTCTAATCATCATAAGATTCAATATGCATTATTTTCTACTTCTGCTTGAGCTATGAAACGCATTGACCATCAAAAAACATAGTTACACAATAATCAGTACATGATCAGTCTATAGAATGACCACATATCCATCCTCTTGTATGACTGCCAAGAGAAATATACTTTAGGACAGTTGTTAGTAAAGATTCCTTCTAGATCAGATGGAAAAATTTAGACTGAAGGGACGATGTGGTCCGTGGATTGTCAGCACAGAAACAATCAGTTGGAATTTGCAGACATATGAGCAAGGTTGTGATACAATAAATATTTGTTTATAAAAACTAGTATGTGAATTACACCTAGCTCATGTACTGTAATTTATGGCCTTCGCTCCAGATCATTTTATAGCTAATACTGGCTAAGATCTAGATTGATTATTCCTCCTGAAAGAGATATTAATAACAAAAGGAAAATTTAAAAATCAAACATTTGTTCTATGATTGTATTTTTGTTGAGTAATTCTAGTTGTTTCTTTTCATTAAAAACCTAAGTATTTGACTAAAACTTTACTACCCATGTAAAAAAAAAGCATCTATATCACAAAATATTCAAGACTTGGGATCTTTACGTGAAAACTCTATTTCCATCAATATTTAAATACCAGCAAGATAGGTAATTTCCTTGTAAAGAATCATTCTTCAAATTCATAGATGATCTCTTTTTTCATTAATTGTTATGAGTTTGAAGGAGAGCAGGAAGGCTTTGTCGGGAGGAAAGAATGGGAAAACATTGCAATTAATTACAATCTCAAAAATAAATGATCAACAGGAACATCCCTCTTTATGAAGTCATTTTCCAGATGAGGCATATTGGTCTGAAGATCTAGCTCAGTGGCTGAGTGATAGCGCAGCAGACATAAGAACCTGAGTTCAACTGAGCACTACAAAACAAGCAAGCAGACAGAACCTTTTTGCAGTAGTAAATACTCTTGTGATATTACTTTTGAGATCATAATTTAATTGCAATTCTCCCTTACTTTCATCTCTCCAGGCATCTATACCTTTCTCTTTCAAATCCGTGGCCCTTTTTTCCACTAATTGTTATTTTATTAATGCATGCATATGTATATACTTAAGTGTCCCTAAATATAATGTGTTCAGTCTGTATAATGCTACCTGTATATTTTCAGATTTACCATTTGAACAACCATTTGGTGTCTGTTCCTTGGTGAAGGCCACTGCTCCTGCTCACAGCTCTCCTCAGTTACTCAGAGTTCTTTGTATAAGGTTGAAACTTCTTCATTTGCTCCTGTGCCTTTCTGTGTCCAGTTTGTCACATTCACTGTAGTCATCCTTGTTCAGCCAACATTTGGGCAGTCTGTTGGAGAGACTTTGATATATATATATATTATATATGATAGCTAGTAAATGCCTGTAATCTCAGCACTGAGAAGGTAGAGGAAGAAAGTCAGGAGTTGGAGACCACCCTTAGCTAAATAACACATTTAAGTCCCAATGGTGCATCAGATTCTATCTCAGAGAAATATGAAAAAAGAAAAAAAGCTGTACCTATTGTTCATATGTACATGTATGTATGCATCTATTGATGGTATATTTATAGTTGATGAAAATAAGAAAGCATCAAAAGCAGAGGCAATAAAAATTGAGAGTAAAATACTATGAAAATTAAACTTGAACTTCTTACAAATATACAAAACTCTATCCTTCTCATCATTATCACTGAAAATTACATTCAACTTCAGTTGTTACTATAAAACAACTTCATAAAATAAGAATGTTTTACACAAAATACACTGTAAAGCAATTTCACTTTAGAAAAGTTAAAACCCCCATGACAATATGTTATTTTTCATTTTTAATATTTACATTTGTATATTTGGGACTAGAAGCATTCTTAGATGTATAGGCCACCAATTTTATGTGTCTCAACTAGGCACCTTAATGAACCATTTATCCAAAAAAGAAATGCTTTGAAGCCAGAGAGCTACACTTTTGAACACCCGTTTTCTTATTCTTATCCCAAGGCACTTGCCCAATGCTATATGCTTTTGAAACATCCAAATTTCAAAATCTCTGTCCACTTACATTATTTGGTAACTTTGTGTAACAAAGGTTGCGATGCTTACTGTGTTTTACAGAATATCAGAAAGTTAGAGGAGCATGTGCGCAAACTCTCAGCAGAAATCCAGTCTGTGAAAGGAGAACAAGAGCATGTGAAACAGGAAATAAAAGAGGAAATGAAAGTATTGAATAACATCACTAATGACCTCAGACTGAAGGACTGGGAACACTCCCAGGCACTGAAAAATATCACCTTCATTCAAGGTAAGACATTAAAATGTATCATTATATGCAGACATTTGATATTTGAACTTCTGTCATTTAAAGTAAATGGTCTTTGAGGATTCTGTTATTAGAAATGCACAGAATATGTAGTATGAGGCAAGACATGGTTAGGCCACCCACACCCTAGAATTCCTTAAAGAGAAATGTAAAGCCAGACATGGTGAGTCAGCATTGAGAAGGCTGAGGCAGGAAGCCACCACAAGTGCGAGGCCAGACTAGACTTCACAGTGAGATACTGCCTCAAAACATGAAAGAGAGAGGACTATATAAGCACGAAAAATCTCATTACTTATCTTACTATACTGTTAATTAGAAATGCTTCTAGCATTCGTCAAGATAATCGTAGATGTATGAATATCTTCTGTTCCAATGAAACTTACCCTTTAGCAAGCATAAGTCATTTGTATCTACATATTAGATTTTAGTTATTTTCACCTTATTGATGTTTTTCTATTGTTTTAACTTTCTGATATGCGTGTTTAAAGTTTATCTCCTGTAAAAATTATTGTTTTTGAAACTACAATCTGACAGCTTCTTTCCCTGCACCCATTTCTCCTACATTGTGTTGTTGTTTTTCTTTTCCCAGCTTGTCTCTTTCCCTCCCTTTCTTGTTCTGTCTTCCCTAAAGTTGATGTTTATCTCTTATTCAAAAGTTACCAAAGTGGGTTTGGAAAGTTCATGCCACACTTTGCTTATCTTTATTGCTGTTGAAATGCGTTGTGGCATATGTTAATGCTGGTCAGCATCTTAAAAGGTGACTGAGTTAAGCAGGGAACTGAAAGTGCTTTGCCTCATGACACACACACTCCCTTGTCCCTCTGTTTGAGATTACACTTCACTTCTATGTTATGAACTTTTACAAGCCAGAGTTTAGTCTATATTATTCATCTTACTTTTTTGTTAAAAGAATTTATTCAGACTTGCCCTTGTGCTAGCCAATTACTCTTCTAAAAATCTGTGTTATCTATCTCTTCTGGGTCATCTTCTTTCTGCATAAAATAATGTTTCAGAAGTTCATTTAGACAAAGTCAATGATATGATCTTGATGCCATTTTCTTATTTTGCTCTTGATTTTTCCCTATGTCTTACTCTGAACACATTTTATGTCCACAATTATTTTGGTTGTTTTATGAGATTAATAACTGATGGGTATTTGGCTTCTAAATATCAAACATCTGAAGATGTTCATCTGTTTAATTAAGTGGTCCAGTATTTGCTCTCTATTGTGTGTACTTTGAATGACTGCTGGACTAGTTACTATAACTAATGAAAGGAAAAGGCTGTGTGATATTTGCTCTGCAGTGTCTCTCAGGCAATCTTCAAGAATCTACAAGAAAATAACAGGGATGTTTATACAGATACAGTTTTCTCCCATTCAGTGCTAGAGATCAAGCCTAGGGTCTTGGACAGGTTAGGTTGGCACACTACCACTAAACTCTACCTAGCCCTCTAGTTTTGTTTGTAATTTTAAATATTTTTTGGGAAATTGCTTAAAGCCGTAGGTGTACAACATCACAATAAGACATCCCAATGTATTTTGGAGACATTATTCCTGTGGCCTTTGGTTTTCCTTATCCTCATTGTTCTTTTCTCTATCTATAATGTGTGTGATCTCACTAATCTGAACTTTGGGTGGAGAATTTTTGGATTATACATTTGTTGTACTTCCAAGAAATTTGATTTAAGACTATGATCAGTTTGCAAACATTTTCCATTTTCTCTAATTCTCTCTTCAACCTTCATTCTTTACCTCTTTCCTTCTATCCCCCCTTCTCTTTATTCTTTCTGAAGATTCAACTCAAGTACTTACTAAGTTTCTCCCTAGTTCCTAATTGCCCTTTAACATAACTACTTCACAATTCTCTCTCCTTCCTCTGTATATGAAGTCAAATTCGACTGTCTCATTCTATCTCCTATGTCCATTAAGCTTTATTCAAGGTATTTTGAATACCTTGATGTCAGTATTTTTCCTCATTAATAATTAGATTAGAAATTCATAACCACATAAGTTTATCTAATTTATACTGTTTTAAGACAATTAAGAAGTAGGATCATCCAAACCTTAACATATAAAACAAGCTATTTAAAATTAAAATAATAAAAAATTAAGAAAAACACCAATGAAACTTAAAATCAGCACTTGTGAACTATACAGGATAATTTGACTTATTCATTGCTAACTTATTTATTCTCTTAATCCTTTATTTGTTGGTGCTATGATTGAATCTGTAGGCTTACATATGCTTTATACAATGTTGTATCCCAATTTATTTATTTGGTCCTTAGTTTTTTAATATTCACAATTTATCAAAAATAAAAAGTATATTTGCATATATACTGATACCTAATAAAAATGATGCTTTCAGATTGAAAGAAAAGAAGAGCTACCAAATTCAGATTAATGTTTACCTCTGGAAATGAAGTAACTGCATGAATCCTGATTTTGTGCCTGATATTTATGCCTGGTGTCAGCTTGTTGCTAGGATATTTTCCTTAGTACTGTACTTTATAGTTTACATATAGTATATGTCATACCTATTCTTTCTTTCATTAGTACATTAAAACACAGGGGAAAAAAAGTATGGATGAATCAGCCTTTGATTAATTGGTTATTTCCACTGTGCATTTCAGTCTATATCCCCACACTTTGAAATTCCAAAATCAAAACATTGATGAAGTGAAAATCTAATTAATATTTATCAATAAAAAATCAGGAGCCAGATATCAGGGAAAAGCTTGGAAATCAGAGAAGCAGGCAAGCAGCCACAGTCTCTTCCTACCTCTACTGTTCATCCATCCAAAAGGCCGAGATCCTCTCTCAGCCCTGCCTCCTCTCTGTCTACAGTCCTCCAAACCTGTATGGTTAATTTTGGTCATCTAGTGGCTGGCTCTGTACTCTGACTAAAAGCAAGCTTTACATGTCAGAACACAATCAAAATATCACACATCTTTTGCCCCCATTTGTCTAAATAAAAGCAAAGGTTTTAAATAACATAACAAAACTATACAATAAGTACAGTACCTGTATACAAATACATACAGACAAGAATTATATTATCAATATACAGTCCATTTGCATTTGACAAATTCATAGAAAATATTCCATTATCTATCCTATCTCGGTGAGTCCAATGTGTTGTACTTACTTACTTTCTATCCTAACTTGTATACAAACACAATACTGTCTTTTCATGCCTCAACCTTATATACTTTACAGCTCTTTCTAAGTTTCTTTTCTGAAATTGATAACAAGGAAAACTATATCTAGTGTTCAACCCTATCAGAGACCTGACAAAGGTATAATATTACCTGAATAAACAGTAAGTGCAGAGCAAAAACTTTATGAAACTAAGAAATCACAGAAACAGCTGACAACCTGGAGAGTTACCCAAGGCTCCTTGGTAATATTGGGTCATCCATCTTCACCTTACAGGCCTAAAAAATCTGATAGCCTTTTCTGAAAAGAAGTAAATTTGAAGGACTCTCCCACCTTGTCTTGGCAAGGTTTGGCAGTCATTTTCTTTTGTATACTGCTTGTCCAATTTGGACAGAATACTTTCAGCAGTTGAGGCAAGGGCAGCTTCTTGCCTAGTGGCTAATTTTGTCAGAAAGAAAGTAAACTCCATATGGAGATTTTTTGATGTCCATCATCTTCTCTGAAGTAGATTGATGATTCCATGTACAGACATGACTCATTACACCTTTCCACTTATTAAGCATATCTGAGAGTTTGTTTAGATATCACACAACACCTTGACTCTTAATCAACATGTCTATCTACATTCTCAAATCTATTGTTTTTCTAGTCTTTTTGTAAATTGCCTCACTCTTAGCTTGCTTCAGACTATTTGTCTCTTATTCTCTTGCTCTAGAAAGACCATACACAATTCCTCTAATTTTTCTTATGTACAACTATTCAAATAAGATTTATTAATATCTCTCTTAAAACTCCTAGTATAAGTCATCATTTTTCACTTTTGTGTGCTGTATCAGCCTTGCAATTTGTCTACATGATCTATGTTTTACTCATTCTATCTTGAAAAGGAATGGCTTCATTTTACCAACACATAGTTTATAGTTTTGGAGAGTTTTTTACGTTAAAATGTAATTACATTAATTTTACCCATTCCATTTCCTCCCTCCAACTGTTCCCATGTACCTCACTTTCTGCAATTCATATTCATTGCTTCTATTCCTTTAATTGTTGTGACATTAACATACATTCACATACACAAACATACCCAAATGTATGTATGTTTATCTTCACCAGAGTATTACAAATGTAAGTTCTTAATATGTGCACAATACTGATGTCATTTTGTATTATTACTGTGCCCCTTTCTCTGTTACCAGGTTCTTAAAACCTATCAAAGTGTTACCCTCACAAAAAATATTTATGTGAATTAATTTAATACTATGATATCTTTCTTAGATGAGGACATTACAGTTCTCAACAGCAGAGTACTTAGCCATTTAGGAAGATCAGAGTTATTCATTTTATGCTAATGTACAGCAAATAGAAATATTTGAATTTCCATATAATTGTCTTTATAAATAATAAGCTTACCTAGGTTTTATATAAATAATAAAAACTTGTGTTTTTTTAAAGGGCCTCCTGGACGCCCAGGTGAAAAGGGAGACAGAGGGCTTACTGGACAAAGTGGTCAACCTGGTGTTCCAGGTTCAATAGGTAAAGATATAGTAACCATTTAATTATATACAATGAGGTTGAATTATATGTATACCTGTTTGTGTTTAGGAGAGAATATCTATTTCATCTTTTCTGTGGTGTGTGTGTGTGTGTGTGTTTGTCTGTGTATTTATAAACCCTCTCACATATTGGGAATTATGTATTATAGCATTCTAGTCACATGGCTACAATGGCATTTTGCTTTGCCAGTGAGCTTGCAGTGGTGGTCAAATTCTAGGGGTGTGGCTTTGGTAAGCATTAATTAATTTAAAAATATTTTATTAATTTATGTATATGAATGTTTTGGTTGCACATATGTCTGTGTGCCACATGCATGCCTGGTATCTTCTGAGATGTGAAAAGAGTATCTGATCCCAGAGAATTTGAGTTACAGACAATCGTTAGTTGTCACATGGGTTCTGGGAATCAAACATGGGTCCTCTGGAGGAACAGTCAGTGCTTTTAACTACTGGATCATCTCAGTAGCCCAAGAACTAATGATTGATCTTTGTAGTTACTGCATGAGATTGTTTATGAGTCTGAGAGCTTTTGGAGAGACCACATACAGTGTATAGTACATATAAAGCTATATGTGAAAGAGAACAAGAAAATTGCCTTTATGTTGGATTAATTTTCAAGATAAGATTTTTTCATGATATATAGATACATTAATATGTCACAAAAATTGAATATAGTTTGCATGTTCCTTGACTGTCTTATACTGTTTAAATTCACGGAGTCAGGAAGCAAGCAAAGTCTAGAATATGAGTGACTTCTGCCTTGGCTGTCAGCCACTCTCTGTATTGTGTTTTATGTGGAGAAAATTTGTTCTGAATTATTTTCCTCTGAGTATGCTATAGGCTTGAAAGCAGTATTTTGAAAGAAGATAATGGAAGACACAGAAAAGGAGAGAGAGCATGAACTTTCTTTTCTCAAAAATAATCCTGAAATCAACAATAACAATAATAATGTGATTGTCATGCCATCCAAATGCCATTCTTTGCAAAAAATGCGTTACACACTGTTTGAAAATATAAAAGACTGAATGGTCTAAACATAATTGGAGAGGCTGAGTGGCCAAAATTTTAACTAAATACATTGGATTTCATCTTAGTTTTCCTCTTTAGATAAACATTCTTCTTTTCATAAATATTTTGACTAGTCAAAGTTATATAAAAAAAGATACTCAAGGCTGAAAAGCATGAATAACATCTATCATACAAGTATATTGTTGTGTATCTTGTAATTTAAATATCAAAAAGGCTTTAAAATCTTTATCTATCTATCTCTCTCACACACATATATATGCCTTTATTTATAAATAGTGTATGTTCATCTTTCTGAAAGCCAGTTATTGTGTGCTCTTGATAATAATGGCAGTATTTTTTATCCAGCAAAATCCTTCTACTTGTTGAAGACTCCACATCTTAAGAAAATTGTATCCATATCTTAAATAGGAGAAGTAACCAACATTATTATATCTGCCCAAGTCACTGTTATCAAGATCTTGTTAATGCCGTATAGTGCAAACGTAGAAAGTTAGTGTGGCCCATGATTTGCTGTGAAAGTATCCCTTTGAAAGAGTTATTCCTCGGTTCTGATCTGTAGATGTGGGAAATAGAGTAGTTTGAACTTTTCAGCTTTTGTCACTAGACACCATATCAACCTAAAATACTGTGCCGCCTACCAAATTAATTATGGAAACACCATAGTGGATGTGGAGGAAAGAATGTAGGAGTCAGAGGGAATGGAGGACACCAAGAAAACATGGCCCACTAAATCAACTAAGCAGGGCTCACATCAGCTCACAGAGACTGAAATGACAATCATGGGCCTGCATGGGTGAGCACTAAGTCCTCTGAGTATGTTATGACTGTTCACTTGGTGTGTTTTTAGGACTCTTAACAGTGGGAGTGGCTGTGTCTTGAGTTCTTTTGCCTATTCCTGAGACTTATTTCCTCTTATTGGGTTGCCTTGATATGATGGTTTTCACCCTATCTTATTGTATCTTGTTTTGTTCTGTCTGGTGTCATCTCTTGGAGACCTATTTTTTTTTCTGAAGAGGAAATTGAGGGGAAGTGGATCTGGGGAAGACGGGAGGTGGGTAGCTAGAAGTAATGGAGGAAGGGGAAACTGTGTTTTGGATGTATTGTTTGAAAGAAAAATCTATTTTAAATAAAAATGAGGAAGAATTATTCAGTTGACTTACACAATGGGGGCTGGATAATTCAACAGTTGTCTTCATGCTGGAGGGGAGAGAACCCATTGGCTACTCAGTTCATAATGCTGACTGCTTCAGCACTTCTAATCTGAAGCTAAAAGCTTAGGATATTCGTGCAGAGTAACTGTTTTTCAGTTTATGTTGGAGCATCAGGAAGCTGGAGTCTGATGGCAGGAAAGAACATTGGCCACAGCTGCAGCAGAACAGCCACAGTAGTCATAACAGCAGAATAAACACTGACCAGCAAGAAGCAAAGTCATATAGCAAGCAGCACTGTTTAATCCTCATCAAGATTTCATTACTGCAGAGCTGTGGCTGGAAGGTGTCACACACTTCAGGAAAGGACTGCAGTGTCACGCACTTCAAGAGAAGGTCTTCTCCCTCAGTTAATTCTTCTTAGACATGCCCTCAATGGACTTTCTGTCCCCAACACACACAGGGGCAGATCCAAAGTCCAGATCCAATCAAGGTGGCAGTCAAGATAAGTGATAACAAGGGTTTAGTGTATTTCTGAGGACACTGCTCATTTACACAAATAGATACTATGCAATTCTCTCACACAACAGTTAATTATAGTTGCTGGTAGATAATAACCCTTTCAGGTGGAGGATTGCTATTTGGTTTGATGCGTGACAGCTGCATCAAACTATCCAAACTGCAAAACAGATAGGATTCTTGCCCACTTCATTGCTCTATTTTGCTCAGTGTTATGTCTAATTGCTTCAAATTTGACATAAAAATCAGGAAATAAAGGATAGATGATGACCAATCACAATTCTGCATTCACCAAAACTTTATATATACTGCCATTTATCACATTAGACTCAGCTTAACAAATATCTACTCTTATAGCCATGATAAGAGTATCTTAGAAACTTTAGTGGTTACCATATGGGCCCTAAATAGTTATATATTTTAATTATTATACAACCTGTAGTGTGTATAGTAGATTAAAATGTACTGTTTCTTGAAGTACTATGATGACAATTCATTTTATAGAGCCAATTTCTTGGAAATATGGCAAGAAAATGTCCTACTAGTAATGAGCTCTGATGGTATAGGTTGGTTAATAATACATCAAAGAGGTCATTGTTCCTTGTGATACCTTCAACTCATGGTAACACTACCAGACTTTACTATTTGAGTATTTTAAGGGGACACTTTATATGCAAACCACATTTCTCAATAACTGTTAGTGCAGATGTCAGGCTGCATAATGAAGGAATGTCTAAATGTCAGGTTATCTGGGTAGAATAAATTAAGCCATTTTAGATTACATGCTAAATAAAATCAAGTGATATACACAATGTACACTACAAAGTTTACATGCTTCATTTGGTATACATAGTTATCTCTCTCTCTTTATATATATATATATATGGCATAAATATGCTAATTTATAATGGCCCACCTTTACTATATAACTCCATTTATCTAGATTACATGCCTAATAATTCATTTTATGATGAGTTAACTGATATTTCTTAACTATTTGTCATCATATATTTCTTAAACTTAACATTTGTTAAAAGACAAATATTTTTCTGTGGATTAAAAACATATAAATTCTGCTTCCTGGATCTTGTAAACAAAGGCAATGTTTGTAAAGGTTGACACTGAAGAAAGAAGTATAATCAGTTTTTCATAGCATGACTCCATGGAGGATTCAAATGAAAATTGCATTAATAATAATCAGTGAACTGATATTAACACTGGTAACAAAGTAAAATTGGATACAAAATGTTTTACATTAGTTTACATTAAATTTCTTAACCCTACAATAAATATTTTATTTCAGCATAATAGCTTTTTCTACAAATGGAATGTTTATAGTTATCTTAGAGATATGAGCTAAAGTAATGGTAATTTTCAGAGTTCATTATTTGTGTGTGTTTCATATTCATAAATAATTCAAAGTTTTGTTGTTTAAATAAATACTCATTGATACTTCTTATTGCTTGTACTGTGCTTTTACTGATGTAAATATTAAAAGTTCAAGCCTCAAAAATTTTACATACCAGTTAAAGAAATATCTGCCACTTGAAATTTTCTGATTGATGATGGTAACTTACTGGTTAAAACAGAAAATGTGTTTTTAGGTTACTGACAATGTGCTTTTCATTGACTGTAACATATTCATTGCAACATGTTTATGCCACATATTCTATTATCTTTCATTTGAATGCTCGATGATAGGAAAAATGTTATACTCTACTCAGAGAATCGCTTACTTCATTTATTGGATGCTCAAATACGTTTGAAAATGAATTGTTATAGACATTTTTTTGTTTTCTTTATTAACCATGTAGGTCCTCCAGGCCTTAAAGGTGATCGGGGGCCAGCTGGCTTCCCTGGAAATCGAGGATACCCAGGGGCACCTGGAAAGGCTGGGAGAACAGGTATTGTATTGCTATGCTGTTATCACAGAGTGTGCAAATCAACAATGGTTCATTGACAGTGTTTATAAAATACTTTCATAACAAAAACATTTTCTCAATAGAATAGCAGGACTCACATAATTAACTTTATAGTCTAAAATAATTTGAAATTAATTTTGCTCGTCAGAGGAAAATTCCTATGTCCTATGTACACAGCTCATACAAAGACACACACACACACACACAATACACATACTAGTTCTGTACACAAGTCATATATATATACACACTAGTTCTGTACACAGATCATACAAACACACACACAATATACAAACATACTAGTTCTGTACACAGATCATATAAACACACACACACACAATCTATACATTTTACGCAATCACAGATGACTTGTCAAAGTCCTTTTCTGTCATTTATTGAGAATAAAATTATAGACATCAGAGCCCAGCTAAGGTGTGAGAGATGAAACACTAAAAGCACAGTAAACGTTGCAGAAGCTGCCATCTCTTAAGGAAAATGTGTTATGAATATTGTGTCTAACTTTCAAAGCAAATGTGCATTGGAAAAAGTTATTATCACATAATGGAAGATAAGCCTCAGCTTTAAAAAGCTTAAAGGCCATCCTCAGTCCCAAACTTAGCATGTGGTAAATCCAAATAATTGAAAACAAAGTTTTAAAATCATTGATAATATTCCATAATTTGTGATTCATAAGTTGTGCATTCTGATACAGTTCCAATGGAAAGTTAAAGGGAAATACAAAATAGTAACCATGATTTTGCCTTTGAACCAAACAGCCATGGAGTCGTTCCTGTATTGTTGTTAAAATGATACTTCTTACAAAATATGTATCTGATACTGTTGAGAGAAGAATTAATAGTAAAACAGAATCTCTCATAAAATGAAATTGTTGCCATGGAAATCTATTGATATCAAATAAGTATCTTGCAGACACTATCATTTAAAGTGAAACTGAGGACAAGGTAGCAAACCATCTACAAACACCAATGGTCAGCATTTCCACATTCACTGATAAGTTTGAGTCACTGGCCCTCATATAGCACTTGAGCTGCATCCCTGTGTATATGGATGAGAATTCTCATAGCCAAATGTAATTACACTAGAGGATTGAGGGACCAATGAATACTTTGGAATAGGATATTGGAAGCCCTGAACATGTAAAGTCCAGTCTTCAGGATGTTCTGTTACAAAAGAACAAATAATGAGACATAAAAATAAATTTATTCTGGGAAAAAGTAAACATTGAGGATAAGTTGGAAGATGATGGGATATTGGAGGTGGAATTAGTTAGAGTCAGATAGAGAAGAAAATGTAAATTAATATGCAGACATTATTCCATCTTTCATATTTTGTGAAAAGGGGATATGTCACAGCCTTGTAAATAACTTTGGTTATTATAATACCAAAATTACAATGGTGTTTCAAGAGTGACCATCATCATTATCAGCATGACTTGATTATTATTTTTAACTAACTACAAGTTACTATAAATGGTTATCTTTTTTTGTGGTGCCCTGTGCACATTTAAAGCAGGTTCTGTCGAGTTTAGGGCCATGGCTCAGTGGTACAGTCGTGATTGGTATACATGGGCCTTGGGTACAATCTCCAGCACTCCAATAATCAAAAGAATAGAGAGGGAAAGAAAGAGGGGGCAGAGAAGGAAAGTGAGATATCAGCATTTGGTATTAAACTGATTTTTTTCTTTTGCTGTTTTTCTTTTCCTAAGGATATCCTGGGCCTAAAGGTCAAAAAGGAGAAAAGGGGAGTGCAGGCATATCGAGTAAGTTTTTGTCTTCTTGTTTCCTGTGTTAGTGTTTGTTTTAATAAAGTTAGATTGTGATATTAGTGGTGTAGGCTTGAAACAAATGTAGAGAGCTTTAGCATTGATCTGCAGAGCTTCTGTAGAACCCGACCACAGTTTCCTCCAAATACAGCATGCTAATTGGAGTAAAACAAATAGATTAGATTACACAACATTTGAAACTCATTACGCATTTGTTCTCTGATTTTCTTCTTTTTTTTGATGAGCACTATTTTCTAAAGAAAAAAATCACATTGAAAATTGTCCAATTTTCAAGTCAGTTTCTCCCCACTGAAGGGAAATCAAGCCTATGAATAGAAATAATCACAGTCCTTTACACACCGAATTCATGAAAAGCTCATATATAGACATGTGAACAACTCGAAGGCCTTGACAGAGTAATTCCCTGGTAGCTAAGGCATTTGTTTTGTTGTGGTTTTACTCAGACTTTCCAACATTAAAGGAATAGATTTCACATCAGGGAGCTTCATTAATGGAATGCAGATCTATCATTAAAATGCAGAAAACTCGGATATTAGACATTAATTGTTAAATATCAGCTGAGATGGCATCCATTGGCTAATCCATACGTGATTTATTATGAGTATAAGATGAACATACTTTGATGTAATAATTGTGAAGATGAATGAAGACCCACCACTTGGGTTCTTAAAATCAAATAGTGCTTCCCTGTCTTCCGAAGAGAATCTACATGTCAAATGTATGTTGTGAGCATGGCTGGTGTGAGCCATAGCCACACCCTCCTCATTCAGGGGCTAGACAGATCATGGTTGAAGTCTTTATTAACCAAACCTTGCTGGTTCTAGCTATGATCATTTTTTTAAAAATTAGGAATTTGTGTTTCTTGGTTGTCACAAAATAGTTACTTTAACCTAATACCAGGTACAGATGGCACAGTTAGACAGCATAGGTTATTTTTGTGATGAGCCATTGGAGTCTAATTTAACTATGATGCTTTAAAAGTTGGACAACACATAGGAGTGGTGGATTTCTCAGTATGTCTGTGCTTTGCCTACTGCTCTTCACATATTAAAGCTACATAAACACATTCCTTTGTCCATGTTTTCTTTCAGGTGTCCACTTTTCCGCTAGATGCTTGTTAGCGGCCTTTTATCTCCTTCCTCTTTCATTCCATATAATTTCAGTTGACCTCTTATCAGCCCCTAGTCCTTAAGTTTCTGTGTATCTTTGTCCATGTCTTCATTTTCTCACACTTTCATACAAAGTATCTTGATCTCATCTCCTTCCCCTGAGGCTCTTCAGAGCTTTGAAACATTGCAATTGAGTTTGTCACATAAGGAATGTCTTTACTTTTAATCTATACATTGAAAAGCCACAGAACTTTCTGTTTCCCGCTGTTTCTAAATGCTTGTAATAATTTTCAGCTATGTCTTAGAAATTTACATTACAAATTTGGATGGCTATTTGGGAGTTTGAGTACTTTGAGAAATCAGTGAGAGCTATTTTTATAGATGAGTGTATACAGTCTCTTGATTCTTCTACATGTTTCCCCAGGGAGAATATAAAGCAATTCCACAATACTCCAAAAGAAGAAATAATAATATGCCTGTACATCTAACATAAAATGTTCTGGTTTTCTGTGTTTAATATGCAATCTAATGTGCTTTGGCCTCTTTTCTCTGAGTGAGTAGATATTTTTGTAAATTACAGAGATACCACAACTACCACAAATTAGTCAGTTGTTTCTCTACCCTTGAATGGTCAATAATTTTTGCTTGCTTTGGTTTGGCTTTAATAATCAATGTAACATTCATCCTTTTCTATGCTGTTTTGAGAGAATACCATTAAATACAGAATTTATTTGAAGTAGAATCAGTAGTTCAAAGGTTATATGCATTTTACCATGAGATCTTGCAATACCTCCAAAATGGTTCTGTAGGTTATTCTGTATGGAATTTCTCAATTCTCTACATTTTAATTGTGACCTTTAATATTTGTATTGAATTAATTCAATGTACATTTTTAATAATTCCGGAATCATTTAAATATAATAAAATAATCCTGATTTCCTCTTTTGCATATGTGTCAGGATCAGTATAACCCCCTGATCATATTGGGACAGGACCCTTTTAAGATCAGGTGGGTTGGGCAGAGCACTCCACTAAGGCCTTTCACCTCTGGACAAGCCATCAGCACAACTGACTTCTGGGATCTTTTTCAACTCCTCCAAATGACCTTGGTTCCTGTGTCATCTCATGCCTGGCTTCTACATGACTTCTTCTCCTGACTCTGGGTGCCTTTTGGGCCCCAATGCCATATGTTCACCATCATGAACTCTGCTACAATGACCCCTATTCCCGGGTACCCTTCACCTAGATGCATGTACTTGCTGACTAATGAGATGTTCCTGCCTCCTTCAGACCTTCTCTCACCCAATCTCATGGAATCCAATTTAACCCATTGGGTTCTAGGAGAAAATTGATGGACATTGATTAAATATGGATTCTCAAATAGAAATAGGGATGGAATAGGAGGAAGTCTATCCATCCACTCTTTCACTCATTCATTGTGTCTGTTTTGGAGCCAGACATAACAATAAACATTTTATCCAACATTATAACTATGAATATCCTAGTTATAAACAAAGCAGAGAAAACTATCCTGGGGAAAGAATAGGAGGAGACAAAATAATCTTTGTCCCTTTGTATATTAAACATAACTTTATTTGTATCGCTTGCTTCACTTTCCTACCTTATTATTCTCCAAATCATATATATGTGAGGGAGAGATGGAGTGAGAAAGAGAGAGAGAGAGAGAGAGAGAGAGAAAGAGAGAGAGAGAGAGCGACAGAGAGACAGAGAGACAGAGAGAAGAACTTGGATAATGTCTTCAGTACATTTGAGTGGGAACCAAACTTAACTTCATTAATTACCTATTCATTTCAAACATTTTGATAATGAAAAATCAATTTTGGTTTTGATTCTAGAAAGCTATTTACCTTTACTTGCATTTTATGTTTTAAATATATGTATATAAGCATATACATATATATTTGAAAATATTGAAATAGAAATGGAGACATTTTGTATAAGTTATAATAGGAAAAATGCAAAACATGAGAAGGAAAGAAAAGAAAATGCAGGAATAATAAAGATATAAGATCCCATGTTGTTTTCAAGTTGTTGCCTCTCTGTGAGCTAACAGAGAATAAGTCTCAGGTTTTTCCTCTCCTTTATGTTTTAACACTAAGTCCTAAGGTCCACAACATTAAGATAGAAGCAGAATTATAATTGTATGCCTGTGTGTGTCTCACTTTTTCTCTTTTCTGCTCTGCCTAATGATGTCCCTTCCTACCCCACAGGGTTGTTGTGGGGACCAAATTGTGTGTGAAGATGTTCTGAAAGTCATAAAGATCTTTAAAGTTACAGGAGTGGTTTACAGCAGTCTTGCTGATCACAACAGTCATCCTTTCCTGTTTTCACGGAGACACGTTAAATCTCCAATCATATTAGGACAGAAAGAGAAATGGAAATGCTGAGAGCCAAATTTTCATCTCAGGCAAACAGAAAGATGTTAGAGAATAAGCAAGACTTTTGTGTTAGATGAAGGAGCAGTACAAGTGTGCCCAGATCACAAATCAGTGAATTTGTCTTAGCAAAGCAAAACAGCGTTAGTCATGAGCAAGAGAAGCAGCTAAAGCAGAGGCCATATCTGTTGACAGAGGGCAGAACAAAATGTCAAACTAATAAAACAAAAGTCTGGGCTCCAGAGGACAAAACCTGAGCCCGGAACATTTGTTGAGAAAGTTCTGAAAAGGGTGGCAAGGAAATGGTACTGTCACTGCTAGTGGGTGTGTCTGTGCCTGCATGCCACGGAGATATGATCAAATCTGGTCACAAAGGAAAAGAAAAGGTAATTAGCCAGTGATTCTGGCAGTCTGTAGTATTAACAGACTAGCTGCTCTGTGCAAACGTAGAGAAAATTGGATTTGTGCTTGTGGCTTAATCGCCCTGTGCTGTGGAGTGTGTGTGACTCTCTTCTTGTGCCAGAAGGCACTGCTGTGGACAATGTTGGCGCCATACAGAATGGCCCTGATCCCAGATTGCTGGCAGGCAAATTCTAGGAATTCAGTTCTCAAGTCATCTCTCTTTAGAAACTAAGCATGGATGGTGAAGTGTGGAATATTAACCTCCACATTCCCAATTAACGAAGATGACTGTCTTTCTCTTTAGATAACAATAGATTCCGAATGTCCTGTCCAAAGGCATCAATTATCCCAGCTTTTATTATATTTGATAAAAATTGACAAATGGTATGTTCTGTTGCCATGTTAACTAGAAAGGATATTTTTGTCAAGCAAGCGAACCATATAATCAAACACTATGAGGCACCATCTTAAAGAGTCTTAATGCTTATCAGTGGTGTGTCAGCATGCTCTGCTCACAATCAAGGAGAGAGATAGGATTTGAATTTTCAGTATCTTATTCTCAAACTCATACAATGATATAAAAATGTGTTTGATTTATCCTGAGAATTCACTCAATCTTAAATAAACTTTGGGTTTTTCTCAAAGCATTCAGACGGTTAAAGTTAAAACCTTCTTCTCCCATCACTAATTAGAATAATAAACATTCAGAGGATACTTATTTTATACCAGATACTTTTGATGCATTTTCATATCTAATACTCAGAAAGTCATTGGGGTAGGTGCTATTAGTATCACTGTTTAATGAGCTAGAATCTAAGGTCAACTGCTAATAAAGGAAAACAGCACAAATTCAAACCCATGCCTACCAGTTTCCAAGTCCTCATGACTCTGTGAAATGCTTCCATATTAGTCAAATATTTTATGCATGTAAATGCTACAAATATTTAATATGGAGGGTTTGGAGGTGGAAAAGAGAGAGAACATTTGTAATTTGCAGTTCCGTTTTGCAGAATGAGGCTTCTAATTTAAAGACCATCCCCCAGGAGAAAAAAAATCTATAGACTAGGTTAAATTCCAGAAGTGTCTTATTGAGTCATCCTTGTTTATGTTTCCACCATCGTAACTACTGCACATGCTGCCTGCATTCTCTCCCTCAAGTCTATTACTCAGACACATCGTCTTCCTGGAAGTGCTCTCAAGACTTCCATTACCACTAATGAGAGTTACTTACATGCACCCAGGGAAAAACTACCTGCTAATAGTTACCTTTATTTCAGTAACTGACTCAGTTTTCACATTTTCCAGGATCAGTGGCTGCTTTGATGCCTCTTTGCACTTACTGTGTTTTCTTTTTCTTTCTTTTTTTTTCAAGTTCCACAGTGTACTTTTCACAATAGCACTAGTTATGAGCCAGAAAAACAGGCTACATTATACTGGAGCAGGAACGGCTTTTGGTAAATAAGACAAATGCTAACTACTTTTATGACAATTGTGTTTTGTCTATAGCTTCCTGTGAGTCCCCAGATAGTTAATAAAATCATAAAACATTCCTCTAACACAATACATGTGGTTCTTAATAACACTACTAGTATGTCTTGTAAATGGAAACAGATTGAAATCAGCAATGGATAAGTAATTAGCTTGTCCTGTTTAGTCCTTCTCCCCAGTTACTTTCAGCAGATCCAATTAGAAAGGAAAAGTCAATATAATTCTATCCAAGATTTGTACCAGCAAATTTGAATTTTGTACAGGGGTTCAGAAAGAGAAAAGAAACCAAGATTGCAGCTTCACATCATAACCTCTGGGGAACTAAGAGTCTGCTCACACCCCATCTCTAGTTATGAGCCACTGAACTTCTGTACAGGAACACAACATCATCTGTTTTGTTCACATTATAGGTATAGACTTGCAACCTACTAGTTGTTCTCCTCTACCTGTCTTATCTGGAAGTGTGACATTGTTAGAAACCGAGTCACAAGTTCAATTTCCTAGAACAACAGCTAGCTAGACTGCTCAGGACAAGTCCAAGGGCATCTCTACAGCACTTGAATTAGGCCTTAAGCTGTGTATCCTTTACTATTCCCTAGGGTACTGAAGTTACTCATTTTATTCCTCTTGTAACTTGGCACACCCTGGTTGACACTGTTCTAAGTAAAATATGTGAATTCCAGAAACTTTACAGATCAATTTAAAGGCCTTGAATGTGAATTGCGAAGTGAAATGGCTGTGTTTCCTAATGACATTCTGTGGGAGTCTGAATTTTCACTTCCTTTGGATGCTGACAAGTGTAATGGAACACAAATATTCAGTTTTTTATGCACAATGTTTTAATAAAACTCCATATGGTTTACAGCATGATTCATTAGTCTCTAGTAAAATAATTAAATGTTCTCTTGTAAATTATCCTGTAAATTAAGCTCTCTCTCCTGTCTTAGCCACATTTTAATTTTTTTTAATTTTCATTTTTAGTGTATTTTATTAGCTCTTTGAGAATTTCATATGATGAGTTTGGATCATATTTACCCTCCTCTCAGCTCTTGCAAGATATACCACTGCTTCTGTACCATTCACTTTTGTTTCTTAAAAGAACACATTAAGACCAGTCAGTGTCATCCATGTATTCTTGGGTGTGACCACAGGAGTATGGTAAACTTAGTGGAAGAACTTGACTATCTCTCCCAGCAGCTATCAATTGCCAGTAGCTCCTTAGCTAGGGGTGGGACTTCTCCCACAGTCCCCCCTCTTCATGTTGTGATTTGATCTGACTTGAGCATGTACCAGTCTTGTGCATGCTGTCCTGCTACATCCAGACGGCATTGCTTCCTTGCAGTCATAGACCACTGCTGACTCTTACACTCTTTACACCCCTTCTTCCGCAATTATCCCTGAACCCTCCCTCTACTTCTGGTAACCACAGTATCACCCACACAACTTGGGCATCAAAAGAACACGGATGTTCCAATCACAGAAAGTAACCAGCTGAATAAAATTTACTCACATTTACTAAAAACCTTAATAGAACCCTCATGAATATTTTGAAAATTTAAAATCAGACAATTTGTTTAAGCGGGCAGCAAATCTGGGGCTTCGTGCAGTAAGTTAAATGCTATGCCACTGGGTTGAATTACCTGTTAATTTTCTCATTGCTCTGACAAAAGCACCTTATAGAAAGAAGAGTTTCCTTTGGCTCACAGTTTGAGGGTGTCGTAAGTCATCATGGCAGGCATATTGTGATGTTAGGGGCATGAGAAAGCTGTCCACGTTTTGTCCATGGTTAGGAAACAAGAGGGAGATACATACTGGTTCTAAATCTACTTTTTTCCTTCGTATTCATTCACTCCAGGAATCCCAAAACATGTATGGTTTGACTTCCCATCTCATTTAATGAACTCTAGAAACTCCCTTACAGACATTCCCAAGGGTTTGTCTCCCATGTGAATCTAGTTTCTGTCAAGTTGACAATATTAACCATCATCCCAAACTCTTCGATAAAAAAGCAATCCATTTATTTATGTCTTTTTGAGATAAGACTCACTAAATAGCCCAGTCTAGTCTCAAAATTGTGATCCTCCTGTCTCAGCTTCCTGACTGCTGGGACTAAAGGTATTCCACACTATGCCCAGTTGAAAAAACAATCCCTTTTTTTTTTTTTTTGGTTTTTACGAGACAGGGTTTCTCTGTATTGTTTTGGAGGCTATTGGTCCAGCCCGGCCTCGAACTCACAGAGATCAGCCTCCCAAGTGCTGGGATTAAAGGCGTGTGCCACCACCGCCCGGCAAAACAATCCTTTTTAATGAGTTTGTTTTTTGATGTATTCAAATCACAGCCTAGCAGTTGTGGTACCCGTATTTCCCAGCTAAAATGAAAGAAAAGCTTGCTCTCTCAAGTTTCCCTTCAATTTGTTCTCTTTTATATATGAATACTCCAAACATAAGTGAAAAGGGGAAAAGTAAAACATGTTACTGTTCTTACATGGTCAGAATAAATTGATTGGTATTCTTCACAGTTTTGGAGATTAGAAGTCAAACACGGAAGTGCCAGCACCGACCTGTCTGCTTGGCTTGCCAATGGCCATCTCACTGCAACCTCAAAGGCAACATGGCATTCGAGGATCTTGTGATCTTTCCACTCCTAAAGCACCAACCCTGCTGAACTGGGGCTCTGCTTTTATCAAATCTTTAAGCATGACTTCCTCTGTAAAGGCCATAGCTCTAAACACAGTCACACTGCAGGTTAGTAGTGAACTTAGGAGGATCATACTCTAGTCCTGACAGAAAATACCAACACTTGACCCTGCTCAATGAAAGTGTGAATTAGTATTGGCACTGTGTCTATGGGCCATCTTATGTCCACCATTTTAGAAAGCTAGAAAGAGTCTTTCTGTCAGTTTCTAGCAGTTTATCCCTAGAAGAGGCCTAAATTATACCATAAAATTTTGAGATATGTGAGTGCTAAAACTTACAAGAACAATTTCACTTGTATTTTCTTTCTCACTAATTTTGAAACCATAGAATTTAGTGATGTTCTTTAATACCATGCCATTTCATGAAATAAAAACCATTACCCAGGCAGTTTCACCTGAATATAGAATGACCAATTTTAAAAAGCTTCCTGTCAGGCAGAATGAGCTTGGCAAGCACTGGCATTCTTCCTCAAATGACCAATGCTTTTGTGAGAGAAGTTGCGTGGGATGAAAATGATGGCACAAGCATGTAACTCCAGCGTTCGGGGGCCTGGGGAGGAGCTTTGCAAATGTATGGCCAGCTTAGGTTATATAGTGAGAATCTTTGCTTTTAAAAAAAGCAATGATCAACAAAAACAAACAAGCAAAACATGAAAAGAAAGAGGCAGAGGCAGGAGGATCTCTGTGAGTCTGAGGCCAGCCTGGTCAATAGAGGTAGTTCCAGGACAGGCCAGGACTATACAAAGAACACACACACACACACACACACACACACACACACACACACACACAAATCCTGAAAACCTGAATTGAAAAGTAACAAAGAAAAATCAAAACTTTCTCAATAAGGAAACAAATATTTTGGTTCACAAAAGAACTCTACAAGATGGACTTTACTTCATGAATAGCAGGATACAGTATATATTAGGGATCTTTAAAGGACAAAACTAATGGGATGGATATACATACACACACAGGCACACATAGATTTTAAAATAGTAACAGCAAAGAATTGCATCAATGATCTGAGAAACTGGTAGTTACTCCGACTTTGAGGCTGGATGTCTCCGTGTTTGGAAGAAGTCTCACAAAGACTGTCTCTCAATGGGGAGAGGCAGACAAACTGAAAAGCAGATAAACGAGTACTTGCTCATTATACAAGGCTGAATGCTTCTCTAGTCTCAGTCTGGCACTGGAAGCCTGGAAGTTCTGTGGTCCCAAGGCCAGGAAAAAGCTTGGAAACACTGGTTATGCCATCAGTGAAGGAAGCAACAGCAGCAACAGAGCAGATTAACTGCAGCAAGATGGAGGCCAAGAGAACACACAGCAAGATCAACTTCTTTCTGCCACATCCTTTTAAATCTGTGCTGGTACCAGAAGGTACTGCCCATATCCATTGTGAGTCTTCTCACATCACTCAAAGCAATCAATATACTTCTTCAGGTAAAGGCTCCTCCTCAGGCAGTTCTAATTTCTGTCAAGTTGACATTAGAAGCGAGTATAATACAAGAGTTCAAGCTAAATCATTGGAACTCAGTCTCTCTGCGTGTATCTTAGATTTCATATTTGTCACCTCTGTTGCAAATAGCTTCATGCTGAGCTATATTATTTTTACAACTGGTCACATTTTCCTTAAAAAATCCTCTTGTTCATCTCTGCTTGGGGGCTGAGTTTACTCTTGGTTACTGTGTTTATGGATGTGTGTACTCATTCCCCAACAATGCTCTAAATGCCTAGTAATTAGGAAGACATGATTTCCTTTTCAGAATCTCAAGAGTATGAGGACACAGAAGCCTGAGTAACCTTCACTGTGTGGTTCAGTAACATTTAGGAACAATCTTGCTGATTGCTCATTGGATGCTATCTTAGCAGCTCAATTCCTTCACAGTGTGAATGAGTTATAATCAAGCAACCACACTGCATCCTACGAGCCAATGATCTAGAAGTTGCTCATAGCCTGCAGGAGGTATAGGAATAACCTCTGGGAATTTGTTACTTGCATGTAACAGAAGTGACACAGAGATTTCCATTCATGGGGTTTATGCCATAAGCTGGCTCAGATGCTTCATAAAAGCTACTTGGGGAATTTGGAAAGGCAAACTGGCTAAACACCTTGTATTATGTAATGCATTGCTGCTGACATCACCTTGTGCTAAGCATTAAGTCAGGTATCAGAATTTTTAAGAAGCATGCTAGGAATTATTTTCCACTATGCTTGTCATTCTGCAGTGAGCTTTAAATGCTTTGTCTTCTTCATGTGACCCTCACAAATACTCTGTCACTGTGTTTTCTCCATTAATGTTTAAGGACCTTTAAACACCTCTGTAAAACCTGCTACAGGTGTGATTGGTCTATATATTTTGAAATCTGGTTTAGTCAACATTCAACTCAAAGTCTTCAACTCAAAGACAACATTATATTGAATCTTAAACAAACTTTCCCCGTCAAACATCCTTACAATACATTGTGGTTTAAGTTAGACCTCATCATAGTTCCATAGGAAATAGTTGAAATAATAATAAATGAAAATGCGAACATCACAACTGCTTGTCCATAGTTATGAGGCCAGTGTGTAACACAGTTGGGACTAGAAGCTAGTCTCTTTGACTTTCAGTTTGGAGGAGTCTCCTCTTTCAAGAAACTGGCTTACCTATATCTGAAGCTCCACTTGGGATATTCTTAAAGTATTTGGCACTTCTATCTAACTGAGAGCCTGTCTATTGGGATCCTACATTCACTAGGTGTATTTTCCTGTTCTTATTCTTATCTAAACAAAACAAGCCAATCCACACACACACACACACACACACACACACACACACACACACACACACACACACTCACACACACAATCGACTTCTACCTGTTTCATTAAGTCAACATGATTACAGCTTGTGGAGATATAAACATTTGTGAACATAGACAAAATAGAGCAGACAATGCTATAGGAGTGTATATTGTCTTTCCATGTGCCTCCAAAATCTAATTCAAGTTATAAACACTCAGTAATTGTGTGAAGTCCCATATTGGTTGGGAAAGTTCATAGTAACTTGCTAGAACTGCAAGTAACTAAGCAGATTAAACTTCAGTGAACCAAATTGGAGCAGCTTTTCTCCCTAAACCTCACATTTTAAATCCCCTTACAAGCTACAACTTTATAGAATAATTCTCACAA